CTGAAGAAATATTTTCCAATCATTGATACAGAAGGTAAAGTTATCCTCAAAAGAAGGCACCAAACCGGGAAGGCTGTGTAGCACCATCAAATGTAATTACCAAGTTACGTGGCACAGGAGCGGGGCTGTAAGTTCACTACGGGCTCACCATAGCCAGTGCTACTTGAACATTTTGTTCCCAGTAGCTGAATATTCAACACCAATGTCATTACGGTATAACCGGAAACGAGGCCTCAGCCTCCGGCTTCTCTGCAGACCAGTGCAACCTCTTAGGTTGTCTACTTGTGGAGGTAATGGGTGGTTTTATAGCCCCTTTTATGTGAAAGAAAACTAGGGTCATTGCAGTAGGGCTGTCCCACCGAGGAACAGACTTCGTACCGTCATGTCTTGCCAAGAGTTAACCTAGTGCCTTTAACACCCATAAAGAAATTATCAAAAAAAGATAAGTATCAAAGAAAGCACCAAGCCGGGAAGGCTATGTAGCACCCATGATAAATTTAAAGCTCCAGTGGCGTTACTAAAGATTGGAGGAAGGGTAAGTCAGTCTAGCTTGGAACTAGATTCTAGTCTATGAACACCAAACTATACCAGACCATCCAGGTTGTGGGTTCAGGATAGCATCATCCAACTTAAGAGACTGGGCCGCGAGAACATTGCGCCCAGTAGTGTAAATCACGTTTTATTCAATAAGGAAGGTTGGATGATTATGTTGCCAGTGATGTCTACTTTCAATATTAAATTGCCAAGCAAGTAAAAAAGCGAGCTCTTCCGTCAGAATTATATTGTGCTACCCAACTCCCAATACATGTACTCAAGCCGTACAATTTCTAATCATGGTTATATTGAACGCATATTTTTACTACAATATACCTTGAATTAATCCTATTTTCTTCAATGTACCCGTTAACTTTTTTTCAACTTTTGCTAGAAATTACTTACCCGTTACATTAAGGACTTGCCCGGAATGCTATGCGAGCTAGTGGCTTTACAAGAATTAAAAAACCATCAATGCTATGTACTCTTAAACCCAATATACCTTGTATGTGTGTATGTAAATAAAGAGACCAAATGGTGACTGGCAGTGCATACTTAAATTTCGGTTTTGCCCCGAAGGGCGAGTTTATTGGGCAGCGCCACTCATCCTGTGAGTGAACACACCGCCATAGCAGCATTTACAATATTCCAATAGGAAGAAAACCCGCTGGGTTGTTCATCCTGTCACTTTTACCCAGGCACAGCTGGGACTGTCAATGAAGCTTCCCTTGAACAATAATTTTGTCAACCCTTAAAATCTTACACAAAATTCCCCCCCATTTTGCACCCGCAAGATTAAGAGATTCGACAAATATTGTTTTCCCAACTCAAACAATATGGGGTTTGTTATGCAACATTTCTAATTACCGATTTTCACACACTGGTAGCGGTCAAGGCGGTGTCACTCAAGACTCTGCAAGTCTTCTAAATTGTTTCCATTGTGAATCTCCATGGATATTTGTATCCAAGAGGGATTATTGCTATTGCCGATGTGCCTGCGGCCACCTCTTCTTCCATATTTATTGGGAGTGCCAGCAGCAACCATACTGTATCATCGTATAGATTCATTGATTTGTCTTTGTTACCGTTTCACGATGATATTGCCTGATAACGCCACTAATTTGTGGAAGAGTCTTGGGTATGAAGTATTCAATACTGTTTCCTTCAGCGCTCAGCACATCTGGGCGCTCACTTCCAACATGGAAAGGGATCCACAGAAATTTAAAGACTTCCCTTATTGGTGAACTTGATTTGAGCGATTATCAAGATTTTCTGCCCGATTTTTACCAAGACTGTAGCGCTGCTTGTGAATCTTCATTAGCGTTTCGGGCAAGGACTCTTAAACGCCCTAATAATTGCAGTTAGCTCTGCGTTGAAGAGGCGTAGTTATCAATAAGGGCTTTTTCCATATTCGCGTTGAAACGCATTCCTAATTAGAGTATGCTGCTCCATCCATGCTATTGACAGGATTTGATGACCAAATGGTGTACATTTGATCCAAGTAATTTCCGGCTTCTTTATAGTGGGTCGTTTCATTCCGTCGTAAATGTTCCAGAGACTATCTTCGTTGCCGTCCCTTGTCTGGCTGTAGTTGGCCTGACCTGGGTACGAGAGCAAGTCAACATTAGCAATGTCAGGTTTAAAACAGTTACTATTCCATTTTTTTATCTTTACGTGAATGCAGTTTGTTAAGCCTACGTTAGACACTAGCAACCTTCACTAGCGCCTACAGGATTTATGTAGGGTGTACAACTAGGCAAGAGGTGTATGGGGGGGGGGGTCAACTACCCCCCCCCCATATGATTGTTATGGGGTCCACTACCGCAATATAAATATGAACAAAGGACTTACGCAGATGTACAAAAGCTTTAGACTTGAATGCTGGAATATTTTAACAAGACCAAAGTAGCAAACATTATATGTGCAAATATTTAAGCGAGAAAATTATAAATTAACAATTTATGAAACCGATCGACAATTTTTAAATGCATTGTTTAAACAAGGGGAAACTAGTAACAAAATGGTATAGTACATACATGCACGCCCGCCAATTAACTTTGACGTTCTGTGGTCAATGTGGAGGGGGTGGGGGTGGGGGGGGGGGGTAAACGCCTAACATTCGTCACCTGACAACTCCCCAGCCTGTAGTTGACCCATCTAACCTTAACGCTTTAACCTACATCTTGTGACATTTATGGGGTATAAATATTGGGAGACTCATGACAGTTACTTTAAACTAATAGGCGGTAGTGGACCCCATACCCCATCAAACAGGCGGTTGTATAAACTATATAATGTTTGGCGAAGGTACCACTTATGTAACAACTTTGATTGCATATAATTTACTGAGAAGTACTAAGATGTCTCCCAAGTGCTAACCTGTAACAGGATGTACTGTAGAATAGCCGTTTAAATCATGGGTTGAAACATTAGCCAATACAAACTGGATAATTTTTTTTTTAATTATTTCAGCAAAGGGCATTTATCTATCAATATTTGTCATCTTGGCTGACGACTTCAAATCTTATTAAGCCTTAAAATATACGACAGGACGTCTCATTACCGTTGATGGTTAAAAAAATATTGACATCCTTAAGTTTAACATATCCTGGTTAAGGTTTGTAGAAAATTTTACCAGTTATATCTAGCTTGCCAAGTATTTATACTATTAAAACTTAATTTTTTTAACTAGTAACCCCACTGAATTACAGAAATTTTTAATATATAAAACCGATTGAAGCCAGACGTTAAGAGCTAACCTCTCGCATGATCCAGGTGAGCGCGTCAGGAGCCAGGATGAGTCTGCTATAGTGCCACACGCACCATTATCCGCACTTCCCCCGATTCGTTAAGACAAATCTGAAATATTTGTTTTCCCCCAGAAAAAGGAAGCGGGGGACGCAGCAAAGAGCAGGGGGGATGGGGAGGGCGGGATGCACAAGTGGGAAAGGGAAGGGGGTGGGGGCCGCAGCAAACGGCAAGGAAGGAGGAGGGAGGGGACGCAGCAAAAGGAGGGAGGGGCCGCAGCAAAGGGCAGGGGAGGAGGAGGGGGGACGGAGCAAAAGGCAGGGGAGGAGGAGGGGGGGGGGAGACGCAGCAAAGGGCAAGGGGAGGGAGGGGGGGCGCAGCAAAGGGCAAGGGGGGAGGGGGGGGCGCAGCAAAGGGAAGGGGGGAGGAGGGGGGACGCAACATGCGGGAAAGGGAGGTTGGTCCCCCCCACATACAGCTCAACTTCAAGAGACGAAGCTGAACTGTATACCAAAAGTGAGGTAAAACAACACTTCAGTGTTGTGTATCTCATCGTCACTTTTATACCCAGCAGCCAACCCAACCCGGCCGCTGATTGGTCGACATTCACCCTAAACCTCACTCCCATTGGTTAACATTTTGCGAGTGTGAAGTGTCAGTTAACAATGGTCAACAGCCACCCCTGCACTTCCCCAAATACGAACGAGTCTCTAATAAACCAATAATGATCCCCAGCTTGAATGTTTGAAGTTGTTAATTTCAAAATCTAGTTCACAAACCAAATACAACAATCTATTGTAAATGTTGCAACAGAACAACAGGTACAACAGAGCAACATTTGGGATTTGGTCGGCAGTAAAGTAGTAATCGTCCGTCAGTCAAGAACTGTTAATGGCCGCTCCACAACTACAATATACAAAATATACAATAACAAAATAACAAACCCAACAACCCAAAGTTCCTGACACAACATTGGATGATGTTAAATATTTGCTTTCAACTGACTTAAGATATTGCTCATCAATAACAAATTAAGTGATTTTAGCTTATTGAAGTGTGAACATTTATGCTTTATAATAACTATTAACGTCCAGGATGACATTGTTCAGAATATTATTCTGCACAAGTGTCGTCCTCGACGATCACCACGTGACGCCGGACGGGTCCTCGGTGCTCCTCGAGCACCTGGAGTATAAGTCTCAAGACGAGTCTTACAGGACGTCAGGCGGGTCCCAGCTCCTCCTTACACGCCCTCTATAGCTCCAACCTCTTCCGTTCTGCCTGTTAGAGCTGAATGGTTTACCTTAAGATTTATAAGCTTATAACTGTCTTATCGTAACCTCCACCTCAGACGACCAGAGCCAGACAGTAAACCCCTGACGTGGGTTACAAGTGATGCCCCTGACGTGGGTTACAAGGACAGGCCCCCGACGTGGGTTACAAGAGCAGGCCATTGACGTGCTTTACACGGACAGGCCCCTGACGTGGGTTAAGAATGGAAGGCTTTCGACACAAGCTTAAAAGGGAGGAGCTAAATGCACTCTGTCTTCACATTGTCCTACTCAATCCACCAATTGAAGCATGTTATTTGGTCATGCGAGTGTATAACCTTCAGTGATAGCGGCTCTCCAGGCCGCATTCGTCCTCACAGCGAGGGCCAGATGTACGAGGGCTCTTATCAGTGAGTTGGCAAGTGTAGTTAATTACTAAACCTGATTTTGATGAAATGCTGGGATATCGTGGTCATGTATCCACTCCTCACTCGGCCTCCGTCGCCATCAGGCTGCCTGTCACAGCCTCCCATCAGAACAGGGAATACAAATTACCACTTATGGTTATCAGGAGTCCTAAGTATATATTTTATCATCACTAGATGCGAACAAGTTTCCTACTATTGTGAAATTTTGCTGATAAAAAGTCACTATTTGCTGAATCAGAAACGTGTTAGGGTAACGTATATGAATTGACGTTCACCACTTCTTTATGAGAAGTGTGTGAACAAGGGAGAACAAGAACTTCTTTATGAGAAGTGTGTGAACAAGGGAGAACAAGCACTTCTTTATGAGAAGTGTGTGAACAAGGGAGAACAAGAACTTCTTTATGAGAAGTGTGTGAACAAGGGAGAACAAGAACTTCTTTACTTGTGTGTGTGTGGAGCACCAGCAGAGTGTTAATCTTCGGTCACTACATATCATGGGTAAGATGTCTTCCTATTTCCATCTGAATCCTTCACGACAATTGTTTTGTTTTAATAAGAATTAACGCCGTTGACTAAAAAAGCAGACGGTATGTTCACTATATATTATATCAACATTAAATACCACCACATGCAATCACAGCTGGGATATGAGAACACGGAACTGACACAGTAGAAACAGTGGGATATGAGGACACAGAACTGACACAGTAGAAACAGTGGGATATGAGGCCACGGAACTGACACAGTAGAAACAGTGGGATATGAGGACACGGAACTAACACAGTAGAAACAGTGGGATATGAGGCCACGGAACTAACACAATAGAAACAGTGGGATATGAGGCCACGGAACTAACACAATAGAAACAGTGGGATATGAGGCCACGGAACTGACACAGTAGAAACAGTGGGATATGAGGACACGGAACTAACACAATAGAAACAGTGGGATATGAGGCCACGGAACTAACACAGTAGAAACAGTGGGATATAAGGACACGGAACTAACACAGTAGAAACAGTGGGATATAAGGACACGGAACTGACACAGTAGAAACAGTGGGATATGAGGCCACGGAACTAACACAATAGAAACAGTGGGATATGAGGCCACGGAACTGACACAGTAGAAACAGTGGGATATGAGGCCACGGAACTAACACAGTAGAAACAGTGGGATATGAGGACACGGAACTAACACAGTAGAAACAGTGGGATATGAGGACACGGAACTAACACAGTAGAAACAGTGGGATATGAGGACACGGAACTAACACAGTAGAAACAGTGGGATATGAGGACACGGAACTAACACAGTAGAAACAGTGGGATATGAGGACACGGAACTAAGACAGTAGAAACAGTGGGATATGAGGACACGGAACTAACACAGTAGAAACAGTGGGATATGAGGACACGGAACTAACACAGTAGAAACAGTGGGATATGAGGACACGGAACTAACACAGTAGAAACAGTGGGATATGAGGACACGGAACTAACACAGTAGAAACAGTGGGATATGAGGACACGGAACTGACACAGTAGAAACAGTGGGATATGAGGACACGGAACTGACACAGTAGAAACAGTGGGATATGAGGCCACGGAACTAACACAATAGGAGACAGTGACCTCTGACCCTCAGTATCTGACACACTGTTACATATTTGTCTTGGTGTCCAGCACAATTGGTCAGCAAGAAGGGAGACGAGGAGGAGGAGGAGGAGTTCCTGCGGCAGAAGATGACGTGCTACTGGCAGGCGTACAACCCGACCCTAGAGTCCATGATGCTCTCCCAAGACGCTAAGTACCTCGCCCAGAACGAACAGAACGAGGTCCTCTCCTACCTTCCTGACTATCACGGCAAGAACGTCCTCGAACTGGGAGCAGGTATTGGGTAAGTCGGTCTAGCCTCGTTCTCGTACTGCGAGCAGGTATTGGGTAAGTCGGCCTAGCCTCGTTCTCGAACTGGGAGCAGGTATTGGGTAAGTCGGCCTAGCCTCGTCTTCGAACTGGGAGCAGGTATTGGGTAAGTCGGTCTAGCCTCGTCCTCGTACTGGGAGCAGGTATTGGGGAAGTCGGCCTAGCCTCGTCCTCGTACTGGGAGCAGGTATTGGGGAAGTCGGTCTAGCCAGAGTAGGATTCTATATATACTGAGTAGGCCCTCACTGACAGGCCTAGTAACGGTCTCTAATCCTCTAATAAGCAGTAATAACCGTTGCCACCATCAACAGGAGGTTCACGGCCAGCCTGGCGACGGTGGCAGGTCACGTGACCGCGGTGGACTTCATGGAACAATATATCGCTGAGAACCGGAAGCAGAACCAACACCTGGATAATGTTATCTTCAGGTGTGATGACGTCACTAAGTGAGTATATACACTCATTCATGCCTGAGTAAAGAATTGTGAGATTCACATTCTCAACTAAATGTACACACACACACACACACACACACACACACACACACACACACACACACACACACACACACACACACACACACACCTCTGAAAATAATAGAAGTACGGACGTTTCGGTCCATCGTGGACCATTATCTCACGGATAATGGTCCGGGTAGGGACCGAAACGTGGCCACCTCCTTGGTCTTCAGATGAATAGGTTGGCTGTCTTATTTTCAGCCCCGGTATTGTGACTTTCTGTCTACATACGCGCTCTTTCTGACCGCCATACAATGAACGACTCCTCAAAATTCATCAAAAACTATTTAATCAAAAGTTAAGCAAACTGTATAGTTGCCACAACAACTGTATCTCCATAGAAATTACAATCCAGGGGTTACTACCACAGGAAGTGGTCGCCATAGTTAAAATATCTACAGTATGGGATCTACCTACACAAAGAGGGTTAAAATATTTTGACTTTCCTATCTATTCATTTGGATAGATGAGTTTATCGATGGTTCATCGACGGCATCGCATCTTGCAGGTCTATGTTCGATCCCCGATGTTCCAAGTGGTTCGGCACGGGTCCTTTATTCTGTCCTGGACCACACAGCTCTCAGTCCGTCCTCACATCTCAGCTCTCAGTCTGTCCTCGTATCCCAGCTCTTACATCGCTTCCAAATGGCACATTAGCAATATTGTCTTAGCGGTTTTTCCCTGATGATTATCTTAATCTTGCAACTCATGTGTAAGGCGCTCATACTCCCTCCACAGGCTGGACTTCCCTGCCGGGTCGTTCGACTTAGTCTTCAGCAACTGGCTCTTCATGTACCTGAGTGACGTAGAGAGCTCTCGGGTGTTCAGGAAAATCCTCTCTTGGCTCACCCCTGGAGGACACTTCTTCCTCAGAGAGTCCTGCTACCACCAATCAGGTCAGAGGAGATGGATTAAGAGATAAATGCGCAGATAAACAGAGCAATATCTATATATAAATGATGATAACATGCGACTCCTTCAACAGGTAATATAAAGCGCAAGGAGAACCCCACACTCTACCGCACGCCGCTTCAGTACTTTAGTATGTTGCAAGATGTTTCCAGTGACAACATAGGCTACAAGATCATTAGAGGCAAGAATATCCTCGCGTATGTCCAAGTGAGTGACAGATTGGTAGCACGCTCGCTACCCCAACCACCAATTTCTATTTAGATTGGAGACCTGCATACGCAGAGTCAACTTGTGTATCAATCCACAATTCAAGTCAGAGTGAGAGAGTACAAGCTTGGTAAAATAATTCAAGTGAATATAGGTAATGACTGAGTTCTCGTTTACTATACAGTGATCCACTAATATTTTGCCAACAGTATCACGGAAACCCCAACCAACTGTGCTTCCTGGTCAGGCGGGTGGAGAACAAGGGCCTCGACCCCCAGACGCAGTACCTCGAATCTCACTTTGCTGTCGAAAGTATCAAATCCAGGGAGAGAATATATGGATACAACTGGTTCTCAACCGGAGGAGAATACACCACCAGGGTACGTATTATACCTCTGCTGTATGAACTTCGACGTAATCTATTTCCAAGGTCCTCTCATTGAGTTTGATAAATTTCCAAGTAGAGGAATTAACACGTCTCAAATTATGTTTACTGGGACTTTTTGTGTTCAATTGAGCTTTTATTCTTACAATAAGCTTTGTGGTGAGCAGGACTTGTGCGCTGGTCTTGGACTGAGGCCAGGATGGAGGGTGCTGGACGTGGGGTGTGGGACGGGCGGGTCGGCCTTCTTCATGGCTAGACACTATGGCGTCCACGTCCACGGCGTCGACCTATCCTCCAACATGATTCATCTGGGCATTGAGAGACAAGGCAAACTCGAACCGGAGGTCAGGAAAAAGGTCAGCATCAGGCAGACTGAGGGATTAGCTCAGTATAATTAATTTACTGTGGAAATATAATATAAATATAAACAGTGAACAGATATAATTTTATACATAAATATAAAATATATAAATATATTTTATATCTAATTTTTTTATACAGTTTTTCAATTCTTGTTATTTTCCCACACCAAGCCTAGCTAGGCTAAACCTTCCACATCTGAAACTTGCTTGAGAAATCTGACTTCTGGTTCAATTCATTACCATGAACATATAAAGTTGAAAAGTGTGACCTAATTCAAAAAATTTTTTTTATGTTCAAAATTTAGTAAAATTTACATTTTGTTTATGATTACTGTTTACAGATTCAGTTTGAGATCAGCGATATTCTCCAGGTAGAGTATGAAGCTGACTCCTATGACCTGGTATACAGCAGAGACAGTATACTCTACATCGCCGACAAGCTGGCACTCTTTAAAAAGCTTTACGTAAGTTGTTTATTTAAATAACTAGTTATAATATTCCAGAAGGCACGGGCGAGATTCGGAAAACAATTACGCGTTTCCTTACTAGATCTATACTACTTATCTCTTGTCATACAGTCCTTAGTCTTGTATTTACGATTGAGTTTACGATCTCCGGAGGGCTTCGAAGTCGTCATCAACTCACCCCCCCCCCAAATGGTTATGGACGACCTCGCAAGTTCCAGAGCTCATAAACTATTTAGTGAATACGTACTAAGTCACCATGATCGAGATAAGAGACGGAGATCTCGTAATTGATTTGTGAATGCAATATATTTTTATTTTAAAGACGCAAAAATATTTCCCACTAAAAAATAACCGAATAAGTTGAAGATATTCTTAATGGTGGTGACGGAAAAATATTCTGAAGTGTATTGATATGGCAGCGATGGTTGAAGCCGGGAGGGACCCTCTTCATCACTGACTTCTACACGGCCAGCTCACACCCTCCCTACACCTTCCTCCACCATGTCAACAATGTCAAGTGTGAGTATACCCTATTGACACGAAGTGTATCTTTACCCCTCATGCCACTGAGCCCGAGTATATCCTCATGACACTAAATATAACCATACCTCTGACACTAAGGAGTATGCACGCCTATAATAAGTGTGAGTATACCCAAATAACACTAAGTGAATTGAACTTCATAACAAAGGTGAGGCTATTCCCACACTATGTGAGTTTACCCTCAAGAAATCGAGTGTAACTATAACCTCATGATATTAAGTGTAAGTATTCCCAGTAATGAAGACGTCATGTACAGATTACTCCCTCTTGACGGGCAAGTCATACGGCGAGACGCTCGGAGAGGCAGGCTTCGTGGACGTGAGGTTTCAGGACCTGGGGCACGAATTGATCAAGATTCTCGGGACAGAACTGGACGCCTTTACCGCCACGCGCGAGGCTTTCGTCAAGGACTTCTCCCAAGAGGTGTTCGATGATATCTCTGCAAGTTGGAGAGACAAGGTAAACATCTCTTCCACTATTTCCTTTCTTCTCTCATCTCTATCCTCAATTCTGCATTATTTACTTCCCCTGAGAGGAACACCGTAGTAATTTTCCATTGGCGGAGATAGATTGATTGTTTGGCTTATCGAGATCCAAGTCAACGACTAACTTAGCGAACGACTGACTTAGCCAACGACAGTCTTAGCCAACGACAGTCTTAGCCAACGACTGACTTAGCCAACGACTGACTTAGCCAACGACAGTCTTAGCCAACGACTGACTTAGCCAACGACTGTGAGAAATCGGTTTTTAACGTCTGACTTGGTTTGGTATATTGCAGTGCGCCTGTACTGCCTCAAAGCAACAGAAGAGTCATCCTAACCTTATCGTCTTAAATTTAGTTAGACACAAGCTTTTAAGTCCATTAAACATTCGTTTCCTTCTTTCTTCAGATCCACTGGGCTCGCGAGGGTCAGCTATCGTGGGGCGCCTTCAAGGCCCGCAAGGTGGCCCCGGGCCACGACCAATCACCTACCAGCTAGTTTAGCAGCGAACACCCGACGCCTCCTCAACGTTGCTTTCATCATTGTTTGAGGCATGGATAAGCCTAATACGCCTCCTGTCCCCGACAACGGATTCATACACCAAGAATATACTTTTCGGTGTATGTATGTATGTATGTATGTATGTATGTATGTATGTATGTATGTATGTATGTATGTATGCATGTATATATGTATGCATGTGAGTTACGTAAATGAGTCAAGCCTCATATATTAATTTGTTACCTTTCACATGAAATAAAATCGAATTATTAATAAATTCTTTGTTGATTATCTCCCCCTCGTAAACATTTTCTATATATGACAAATGAAATGCTATACAAACTCCATCAAAACTGGTCAAAACACTTCCCATTTCAAATTTAGCTCCGTGATGTGAACACACACAATGCTGTTAGCTCCTGGGCGAAGCTATTAAGTGTTCCCTGAGCAAGCACCAGGATACAACACAAAACTCTAACATAATGTATTCCTACTACGGATAAATAAGGAATTTAATAACAAAGAGTGTGTGTTTGGGTCAGTCAATCTCCCCATCTCTGGCTCAGTCTATCAACCTCTTCGTCAAATATTTTCATCGCATTTCCTTGATCATATCAACAAAAGACTGCAGTTGCCTGCAGTGAATCTTGAACACAAATGTACACTTGTGTTCAAATGTACGTCGTGAACACTTAGTAGATAGGGGACACTAAGAATCAAAGACAGTCCAGCTAACCCGGCTCTACTAAATGGTTCTTGCGATGGACTGCCTCTACAATACTTCTAGAGGAACTACAATGCTCTAATTCAATAAGAAGCGTCATTTTATGTTATACTGTAGCTTATGTATAAAAACCTTTAACTTTTATGACTGCCACAGGAACATTTATACGCTTAGCCACCTGTAGAGGTGGTTCTCCACCTGTGGAGGTGGTTCTCCACCTGTGGAGGTGGTTCTCCACCTGCGGAGGTGGTTCTCCACCTGTGGAGGTGGTTCTCCACCTGCGGAGGTGGTTCTCCACCTGCGGAGGTGGTTCTCCACCTGTGGAGGTGGTTCTCCACCTGTGGAGGTGGTTCTCCACCTGTGGAGGTGGTTCTCCACCTGTGGAGGCGGTTCTCCACCTGTGGAGAGTCATTATTATGAGGCTACGCTACTTGCCATAAGGCTAGGCTGAGAAACCTATGTCTGGCGAAGCCGGCTGCATGAACTCTGTCTAAACAACCTTGAGACTTGCGAAGCCGTTTTATAATTAAGACCCTCGCATTTTAACCAGAAATATCTTGTATAAAGATCAGAGGTACACAGTCCGTTCCGAAAGTTAATCTAAATTAAAATAATTTCCTTCTCACCTGAACCTGTCTTGTAAGGAGACTTTAGCACGCCCTGATGTAATACCTTGATGGATGTCACAATTAACGTGAGTCATTATACGATAGTGCTATCGTTATCGACACCAGACATCTTCCTGTCTGGTCAAGCACAGATGCCTAACATCATCATGCATAACTTCTGCAAGTCATGTGTACGCTGACTCAAGCATGGAGTCTGCAACAAAAGTTTTAAACTAAAAAACTAACTAACCTGTACACAGGCACGACACAGCTGATCTGACAACAAAACAGTCAAGCGAGCATCCAAACGAAACAGTCAAGTGAGCATCCATCCGGGTATTACAATAATATAATAACACTTTTACTACAAAGGGTGAAACTCCTTTTCTGTGCGTAGTCTGGTTCAGGCAAGTACAAGCTTTTATCATTCGAATTGAAGTAAGTTTATTGAGGTATATATACACACAAAGGGATGAGGTAGCTCAAGCTATTTTCACCCCGTTCAGTACAACGTGCTTATATATATATATACATATACATATACATACCACAAACAATAATCATATACCGATCATTCTCAGTGATACACACATACATTTCTTCCTTTACACATACAGTATGGTACCAGTGCTTTATCACTAAGTGTTCCCTCACCCAGTTATATATCTCTCACACTTGAAGATATCATCTCGACCCTTGATCTCTCATGCTATAGTTTCTCCCGTGTTTCTTCCACTCAACTATAGAGGTCCGCGTAATCACAGAACTAGGCTTTATCGACATGCTCATCCATCCAGTTGCTGGGCCGATATAAAGGTGCTTACCTTGGCTGATCACCATAGACAATGCCCGTGACGGCGGAAGCCATCTCTTATCCACAACTTAAAACCAGATTCAACAAAGAATTGGAGCGTCAGAATAATTGTAAGGCAACAGGTACAACAAGGCCAGTAGGCTGGGTATGCAGAGCTGGATCTCACATTTTCCGTAGTCACTGATACTTAAGTACTCCCCTCCACCATCGCCCACTGGATGGGGTAGTAAACTAGTTCACCACAAATGTGAATTACTTAGATTCAAGAACACTGAGATTTTTTACCAACTCGAGTGTTTCTTAAACTTCAAGTTTATCTTCTACATTTTGTTTAGCAGAAAACGTCAATTAAATACTACATATATACTATACACTGTCCACTAGCTGATTCTGCCAGCACATGTCATGCGTGACAGCGGTTGAAGGTCAAGTACCCAGAGTGGAACCACCTTCAGCAGACAGCTGGCGCCAAGACATGGCACTTGAACAGGTGATGGTGTCACCGTCTGGCCCTAAGAGACTAAGATCCATATTTTTGTCTTTCGTTTTCTTAAAAATGCTTCCTCAGTCAACACTAGCTATTGGTAGTGGTGGAAGGAGCATTTGTTATCATGGTAGTACCAGAAACAATAGTGGTGGCAGGAGCATTTGTTATCATGATAGTACCATAAGCTATAGTGGTGGAAGGAGCATTTGTTATCATGGTAATACCATAAACAATAGTGGTGGAAGTAAGAATTGTTTGTGGTCATTGCAGTACCAGAAACAGGTTACGTGATGTGGACAGACTGAAGGTCAGCAGATCCTAATCATCAGCAGATATCGTTTCAAATGGAGCAGTGGAATTGCGTAGTTCGCAGATCTTCAACTACACATCCAAACTGTATTTTTTCACTAATCTGATCAATGCTCGATCGTGTCTGGGAATGATAACGATCACATAATTAGCTATGTTGACTTATTTGTGTCAATATTTGTTTATTTACAGAAAATACAATTGATTTTGTGTAACAATTTTGCTGTGCAAATGGTAGTCACTAGGATGCACAGCGTGTTAGGCTAGTCTTAAAGCTAAAAAAATAGTTGTAGAATTTGTGAATTTGTAGTGATTTATGAGTTAACAGAAGTGCAGTAAATTTAAAATATGTATAATATCATTATTTATGCATTAGGCAAGCTGTTAAAGCCACTTCCATCCATATAATTAGTTTCGAAAAAAAATGTATTCCAGACTAGTTAAATTATAACGCAATGGGAGCAACGAGGGTCGTAGGCGGGGCATAAGAGCTGGACCTCACTCCTCGGTCGACACTGATAGTCAAGTACTGATAGGAAAGTATGAATCAGACCCTATGGTTATAAACGTAATGAAGTCGACCAACTGTGCGGTAGTAGCTTCTGTACTTCGCTGCCAGGCGCACGAGGCTCCGGCAGCATTTGTCATACCGCAGCCTGTAAGTCAAGAGAGAAAAGTTTGGTCTTGTGCTAAGATATACATCGTCTGGACAAGCAGCTGCTGCTGATATTATTTCGAAAACACCAAAAATTTCTGGTATGTTAGACTATTTAAGTAACGTTAATAACTGTTACTGCAAAGTCTTTCTTTCTATATTATATGGTTCATTAATACTGCGACATAAATTGATCATGTCTGAGTATGTCTGTTTCCAAAACATAAGAATTATTACTCCTTGCATTGCTGCTATTCTTAGTTTTGTCATTTGTACGTTATCAAAAAGGTGTGATACAAACTAGAGAATTTAGAATTTAAAAAACAGTTAGTTGTGTGGAGTTGACTTGACCACCAATTACATCATGGATAGTCTTCCTGTCCATGACGGGATGAACCCATTCCTAAGGAAGAAATGTAATCAATTACCCGTCTCTTTTTGTTTCTGCATCTTACCAACGTTCAGATTCTCCCGTGGGAGTCTGGTAATTGAAATTGAAATTGAAATTGAAATAAGTTTATTGAGGTAAAATACACACAAAGGGATGAGGTAGCTCAAGCTATTCTCACCCCGTTCAGTACAACGTGTTAGTACATACATAGACACACATCACAAACAATAAACCTGTTACCAAACATTCTGAGAGATAAACATGTACATTTCCTCCTTCACAAGTGGTATGGTATCAGACGTACACAAATACTTTTATGACCTAGTTATACGGATAATTCAACAAAATATTACAGTCTTGGTGCAAAATTCTTATATCTCTCAAGAATATCATCAACCTTTCCTTTGTGACACATCCAGGCTATTTGCTCAGGAACAGTCCTTATCTCAGTGTTTCTATATACATTAATCAGGAGTCTGGTACGCCCTCCAGAGTGCTCCAAGGATCAACATATCGGTTATCACCGGTCAGTCAGCGTAGGGTCAGCAAGTGCTGGTCAACTCACTCCGTCATGGACCAGAAGAGTGTAGGCCCCACCCAAGAGTTCCTGGACAGCAACCAGTATTCCCGCCAGCAAATACTACGCTACGAGAGAATCTTCGGCTACACCTGGGTGTCTACGGGCGGCGAGTCTACCACCAAGGTGTGTGAGTATACCACCAAGATGCGTGAGTCTACCACCAAGGTGTGAGAGTCTACCACCAATAATATTATCATCACATTTTTTCTCCCCTGATATCTAATACCCTAAGTGTAAGTGTCTTTAACGATCAAAGTGCTTCCTTCTTGGCTTCCCTGGTACCTTAATAGTAGAATCTAAATCAGTCTCTCATTGACATGCACAATAACAATATTTTAAATCATATTCACTTGATCCTCCTCCCCTTCTTCTCTGTCTTGATTAGGACTTTGTGATGAAGCTTGGGTTACGTCCGGGTCAGCGGGTGCTGGACGTGGGCTGCGGGTCGGGCGGGTCGGCCTTCTTCATGGCCAGACACTATGGCGTCCGCGTCCACGGCGTCGACCTCTCCTCCAACATGATCAACTTGGCACAGGAACGCTGGGCTCGGGAGGACGCCAAACTGCGCGAGATGGTAAGGGGCGTTGACCAAACCACACACTAGAAAGTGAAGTGACGACGACGTTTCGGCCCGTCCTGGACCATTCTCAAGTTGATTGCCAAGTCAATTACTTTCTAGTGTGTTAAAATAGTTTTCGGTCCGTCCTGCATCATTCTCAAGTCGATTGCAACTCAATTACTTTCTAGTGTGTTAATATAGTTTTCGGTCCGTCCTGGACCATTCTCAAGTCGATTGCCAACTCAATTACTTTCGAGTGTGTTAATATAGTTAAGTCAATATTCCACAGTTAATACTGAAGTGAAGCATAAATAGTAAGAACCTGGTGAGGCATTAATTCAGTCCATTAACCAAGTTAGTCAGACACTAACAACAGCATCAGTGATATTCTGCTTTTGTATCCAGGTGAATTAATCCCGAACGAGGCTACATATACAGGTGAAAACTAGTGTTTAAGCCAAAGTATGACTATGAATCTTGTTGACACAGGTGAAGTTCGAGGTAGCAGACATCACTAAGGTGCAGTTCGACAACGCCAGTTACGACGTCATCTATTCTCGGGACACTATCCTCCACATTCCTGACAAGGAGAGACTCTTCAAAACCCTTCATGTAAGTCTTTGGGGCAGACTTACCCACTGGGAAGCAGGCTAATTGTTGGCAGGACTGCCTCCAAGGCTTGAGATAATGTTAACATCAGTAGTAAAATTATCAGTGAATTGTAAATATTCTAAATATGCTAAGAATTGCAAGACAGCCTTAATAGTAAAGATTCCAGAGATAACTAACCGCTGTCCAACTGGAATTTGTATACTTTTCCCTCGGGATGCTACTAAGTACAGAAGAATTGGGGATCCATGCCCATGCCTTCTAAATTCTCAACCACACTACCGTGTAAATCATTATTTCATTATTTCATTCACCTGGGCACTAGGAGACTCGAACTAGGGTGGATAGAGCATTGGCCTCACGCTCGTGGGGTCGACGGTTCATACACTAGAAGCATACCCACCTGTCTCTCCCATCTCCTTCGTCTCTTTCCCATCTAGTCTGCAATCACGAACAGACATTTACATTTATAAATATACAAGAAATCTAGGGACTTGGCCAGCCACATGTCACTATTTTTTTCGGGGGTGGGGGTGTTGTCATTACTATGCCCCCTCTAATAGGACCGACCGAAAGTAGCATATGCCCGTAGCGCTCCAGACTATTTAACCTGTAAAATTGGGTGAAGCTAGCCCCAAGTACTTAATTACATGTGTGTGTATAAGTCGTCAAATTCCCTCCACAGACATACCTACACTATGGAACCCCCATTCAAGCCCTGTTACACTACAGTGAAAGTTAAAAAATAAAAAAATTAATTAATTAATCAATCCTATAGGCATGGCTTAAACCCGGAGGAACCCTCTTCATTACCGACTACTGCCGGGGTGACCGCCAGCACTCACAGGAGTTTCTTGACTACGTCAAACAAAGAGGTACATCAACTTGACTAACACTGATGATATCACATACAAAGAAGAATGAATATCACATGTATATATATATATATATATATATATATATATATATATATATATATATATATATATATATATATATATATATATATATATATATATATATAAAGTGGGCAAGCATAACAAATGGGGAAGCTAATACACATAATAAACATTAAGATATTCTGCAACACCACATCCACATTGCTGTACAATAACGGAAGTTCATGTTGTGTAGGTTATGACCTCCGGACAGTGCGAGAGTACGGCCAGGTGCTGCGAGAGGCTGGCTTCATCCATGTACAGGCTGAAGACCTCACCCAGACCTTCATCTCCATCCTTACTACTGAGCTCAAGTATTTTGAGCCTACTAGGGAGGCCTTTATCCAGGTTAGTTGAACAGCTTAACTTACATCTAAATCATACCATAACTACATATACCAATATATTGCCCCAAACACCACCAAGGAACACTGAACCAGCATACCCAAAAGCATTATATGTCACACTTTCCAAACACATACTGAATAGATTTACTAAATATTATGTGGAAACAGTATACCAACCGAATATTCTAAAAAAAATAGTAATAAACCAAAAGCTGTTATAGTTTTCCTTCTGTTAAATATGTCCCACTCTGCTGTGTAATAACACCGATGTATCTTGTAGGACTTTAACGAAGGCGACTACAACGACATTGTCAGTGGCTGGAAGAGAAAGCTGGTCCGTTGCAATGCCGGAGACCAAGCCTGGGGCATGTTCCTGGCCAAGAAGTAAACTCTGGGCACCTCTCATTACAACGACTACGACCACATGATCTACGCTTGCGATCCCACAATGATATGCTTACAACTCATTCCTACTGCTCCTACGATCAATACTTGAACTCTTAAACTTAGCAACTCTCCTCTCATGTCCTTGTGAATCTCTGAGATACCACTGCCAGGACACTTCATACCCTACAAGCATGTTTCGGTAGTGGGAGCAAGATGTCATTGGTGAAGTTATGATTCAACTTATTCCGCATGTGACTTAGGCCAAGACGTTGGATAATTAACCTGTCTTCTAAGAGTTGTCACAGCATTATAAAAATGATGTGCTAAATAGCCTGAACCTAACCTACCGAGAACAGACGGAAAAAAAAATTGACAGTGTCAATTTTCCGAGCCACTCTGATTTTTGGTACATATTTTGGCGATTGGAATTTAAGACATCAAACTGCGATGTACCATACTATTCGAGAGGACAGGTTGACGACCAACGATGATATATTAACATGGAACTGGGTGCACAGAGTGTGTGGATATTAAAAGTACTTATGTCATTGTTACAAGTAAGAAGATAACACCATGCTCCCCCAGTGCGGAAAGATGGGGTGGAGCAAAAGGTGCAATTGTAACGACCGAAGTTGGAGTCACAACAGGTGACAAGGTAGTTACCTGTGGGGACTTCGGGGTGGGGAAGGGGGTTGACCCCAAGGAAATGACTGGGAAATGGAGAGAATCAGCAGGGTTAAAAAAAGATCAAGTTGGGTCTGGACCCACCAAAGTGGGAGCAACAGAGCCTGATGTTCCATCCAAGTCCTACTCAAGAGGTCCGATTGCCTGCCCCTACAAGCCTGAGGAAAAAGTTTGTTTACCATATGCATTCTGTTGATTAAGATTAGGACACTGGAATAAAGGATACCACCTACCAGGGCAGCGAGGGAGGGCGCGCTCTGGCTGGTCCAAGAAAGGGTACATCATCCCAAGCAGTGCTCCCCTTCTCCACCAGGAGAGTCCTACTGTATTGAACATTCTCCAACACTGGTCCACAGACCTTTCTTCCTCTTGTCCCAGCCTGGACACTCAAACCTACTCGAGAACGGCCCCTTCGGTGGGTTGTGTGATTTGAATGTGCACCTTACGTGGTTTCTTCGCACAAAGCTGGGAAGACTCGTGAACCTTATGTAGTGAAATTCCTGTATCAGGTGCTTGTTGAGATGGGACATGGGAAATAATTTTAAGATTATACAGAAAGATAACTGGAGAGACAAATCAGGATACTTTGCCTAAAGTACAAAATACCTGTGGTTACAGAGAAATTAGGAACCTTTACTAGTTTATTTTTTCAAGAATGTTCTCATAGAAAAATTAATAAACATTTCCAAACAAGGATACAAACACATCCAATGATTTACTGATATACAGTTTCTCATATATTTCTTATGCCTTTTTTATATACAGTACATTTACATCATTTGTTAAATTTTATGCTACAAGAATATGCTTTACACTTCATATATATATTTGTTCATCATAGAATGTTAATTTTGTTATTTACATTTGAGCATAAATTGGAATTTTTTAAAAGAATGGTCCACTTTATATATAAATAATGCATACAGTACCTTCAAACCTGCAGCTTCAATATTCCATTTCAATTTCATCTTTGAAACCTTGAGATTCCCATCACATACAAAAGGAAATGTGTCAAATCCTACACGCTTCTTCTACTAGAAGAAATGTTAGCTTTAGAAAGCTTACATCTTTGAATCTTAACAATTATTTTAAATTGCCGCATCCTAGAATACATTGACAAATTTTTTACATCGGCTTTTTCAGTGCAGCTTTGCTAACTTCTCAATACAGTACTGTTTATAAATAAAATAACTTGCTAATAAAATATACCTTACATGGGGAAATAGCGATGTTGACATGTTTAAATGATACTATGATGGTTCATTACAGCACATAACTTCCTCTCAATATATATTCTAATATTAGGCAATTGGCAGATAATGGAAGCATCTATTGTTACAAAAATAAAATGCAAACAGGTTGAAGGTAAGAAATGATCCCTTCTAGGTGACAGTGGTCTCTTAGGCCACATTACTAAGGTTGTCACAGTGTCGTTCTGGAGTTCTATCTACAAATAGATTACAGTATAGTAATTATAAACTATTTAAACACCAACTCAAGTTAATACAAATTATGAATTGTTTCATGAACCCTACCCATCTCCAAATTGTACATAAAAAAATCCCTAGTGCTTTAAACTGCACAAAAGGAACTTTGTAATCTATGTTACATTGTTAAATACTGTATATTACAGTATATACAAACTTAAAGCATTTGCCTTAACAATATGGAACATTTTGTCAAGTTTAACAAGTAAAATTATCATCCACATTTCCGTGGAAAGATACATTCCTTTATTCCTAACTCAAGGTAACTCAAGTTAATACAAAGTAGCTCGGTTGATAGAGCTTCAGCCTCATGTGTGAGGTCCTCGGTTTGAGTTTCCTTGAGCCCAGGTGAATGGAATTTAACGATTAATTTCATATTTACAAAACAGTGTAAAATAACATCTTTGTTTAAACTACCATTATGCTGAACACAAAACCACAATCCAGTAAACAAAGTTGACAGAAGATAAGTCTACTAGAGCAAAACTTTTCTGATGACTGGATTACCTGAATACAATACTGTGGCATTACTGCAACTATTAAACCTGTGCTATAATGTCAATTAACTTCTATGGTTACATCACTAGCCACTAAAAGCATACAGTGAATTCATGCTTGAATAGAATGAGTGTTTCAAGGTCTTTCTGATGCACCATATTTTTCATCACTTAATTCTCTCTATTTTTCCATTTTTTTTTTAAAAACTTCCCAATCAACTGTTGTTATTGTTATAAATAGCCTCCTGGTGCTTCGGAGCTCATTAACTGTTTAATAATTGTAAACAAAGCCCCCAAAGATTGAGAAAAGGTGTACAGGTATGTAAGTGCTTGCGTAACTGCTTTGTGAATCTGGTCCCTGGTCTCCAACAGTACTAGCTGCAGGAAGCTTTTGGGTGCTTTCTTGCAAGGTTCACTTTTCCTTAGCAACTCTCTTCTTGCTCAATTCTCAAAATGTTCTACTGTACTTCCTTATGCAAGGTTCTACTTCCATATAGTTTTCCTTATGGAAGGAAGACAATACCTTGGGGAGACAACTCAAGAAATAACTGATGGGGCCTTGTTAAAAAAATAGGGCATCAATTAATATGCAACACTATTGTGGCCACACGGTTGCCCCCCAATTTGCATCCTTGTTATTGTTACACCTAGACTTTAAGTGTTGGTTTAATGCTCCTTTGACTTTTGTTGTGGAGTTTGGTGTTATCACCAATCAGTATACAGTAGTTGGTAGTTAACATACAGAAAATTGGCTATCTTACTATTCAAAATTAATTCAATTAAGTAGTTATCAAAAGACTATCTTACTATTCCAAATTAATTCAATTAAGTAGTTATCAAAAGAAGTCACCAAGTCAGAAATACTATGTAGCACCATCAAAGGTGCTAAATATCACTAAGGATGCCAATACGAGAACAAAAGTGTACAAAGCAAATGATATTGTAGGGATCCGATTCACCAAGGTTTCTATCGAGAGACAAGTGACGGCGAGGAACAGTCGGGAAGCAAGACACACGCATGTCCTGGAAGTCAGGGCACCCAACAGCGATATGCATGACCGTTAGAGGGACGATGCAGTTCGGACATGAAGGAAGCGATGGCCCTATTTAGAAATATCAGAATTGCTCATAGAATGCTATACAGTATTTATGTTTTTATATAACTCATTTACATAATTCAACAAAATACATTTAACAATTATGTTTTCACCTGGCATTTGCTAGCAAATAACCAGGGTTTGTCAAAATATTTGGCTTTCATAAAACAACCATATTTTGGCAGCAAGTGGAACTTTGCTAATGACCTTTGATAAAGTTACTCAATATGTTGATGCCCAAAGTCTGCAAATGGCTAAGGATATTTTTACAATTATTATCTAGTTATAATCGTTACTGCTGTTTCCTTAATAAAATTAAGGCTTAAGATCAGACCATAATTATGGTTGATTATATAGTTTGAGGCAATTTTTAAAATTTACAATTTTAACCTTAGGGTTAAAAGATTCACCCACAACTTATTTAGATGCATAATTATTTTGTTTGGGGGGGGGGGGATGGGCCAAGAAACAAAAATTGTGGCGGCAACGTAGCCATAAAATCATTAAATCAAACCAAACGTCTAATTTAAAATTTAACCTAAACCTAACCAAAAGGAGTTTACAAGCCCAAAACAAAACAAAATGCTTTCGAATACATTCTTGGTATGATATATAAATTTACATTTTTATGTTTCTATTTCAGTAGTCATCTATGCCCCGAATTACTGTTGTTTTCAAACAGTTCCACACAGTACAGGATAATAATGCATCATGCCTTGCATTTTCAAAGGACTGAAAAATACAACTTTAAAAAATTACAAATTTCCAGGTTCTGGAAAAATCTCTTCAAATGATGGTTTAATAATCGACTAATTTCTGCAGATTTAACTTCTTAAATATGTCAAACTTTCCATAATTCAGATAACAGAACACCACCATGATAGAGAGATTTACGACATTTTACAAGGTACACTCTTTCCTTATGCAAAGCACAAAACTGAAACTTGCCTATTATTTGTGGATGCCACAAGTGCACATTTTTCCAAGAAAGTGTTAAAGAAATGACATACTTTGGCTTATCCCAAGTTCAAACATGAAGTGAAGTGCAACTTCACTTGAATGAACTGTAATGGAATGAATCTCTGGTTTGTCTGAACAAATTTCGTCCTGTTCTAGACCCATTTAACAACAATTATCAAAAAGAAGGCACCAAGCCCGAAGGCTATGGAATTTAACAACAAATGTATCCATTTCAGGGATGGGGTTTGTTTATCCGAATGTGGGATGCTTCACAAGTTTAGCTCCCTTGACTTACAACTGATTGATCCTGGATTTCCCTACTAGGCAGGAAAATGTGTTTGATACATTTTTTTTTGTGCACAATGCCTCTGTTCACCTTACAGTAATGGGTACAATGCATGGAAATCTGCCAACTGTTCACTGTCACAACCTTGAGGAATAATTAATTAGCGAGGCAGACCTTGATAATAAACAGGTTTCCTGTCTCCAACAATAAGAAACTAACTTTTTTTTTTTTGCCGTTGATGCTTTAATTTATATGACAATTCCTTATCAAAGTGCATCTAAGTAAGAATTTAATACAGCATCATAATATTTTAAATTTTTTAAATAAAATAAAATGTCTTGTGTATTGCATCTATTGCACAAATACAAAAATGCAAAATACCATTTTTGAATCAAAGGAAGTGCCCTCTTCAAAATTGTTGATTGACAGTTGAGAGGCAAGCCGAAAGAGCAGAGCTCAACCCCCGCAAGCATAACTAGGTGAATATAACTAGGTGAATACACTGAGACAACTCTTATGTTAAGCTGCTCATAGTACCTACTTTTGATTAACATGTTAAAATCAAACAAATCTGTTCAGTGCAGTCTAAAAAAAAAGTAATCAGGAGATTATGAATATTACAATTTACTAAACATGGTAATACTCGGTGCACCTAGTCCAGAGCGATTACCATAAACTAACATGCAACATCTACGCATACATCTTCTAGTAACAATGACGAAAAGAAAAAAACGACTAGAAAACATTTGGCCAAACCGTTTATATTAACATACCTGTATAACATTGCAGCTTAGCTGCTACTAAGACTCAACAGTAACAAATTTGAAAATACAGTACAAATATTTTCCTTATTACATTCACTTGCTTACAAACCATTCACAATGTTCTAAACAACTGTGCATTATGTCAACAAATAACTTCTTGATGTCATGTATTTTAGTCAATACCCACATTATATTTGTTCAGTTCAAGTAAAATAAAGAGTATGTACCATGCCCAACATTTTGTGTCAAATACCACACAAGCAGCAATCGCACAACTCCTAAAATTAAATATACATGAAAAAATAAATCATATTTGACAAAAATATACAAGATGCTCTAAATTAATGAAAAGAGAAACATACAAATTGGGAAGCACCACAACAGACCTGTTGGCACATACAATAACAAACAGATGAAAGTACAAACCACAACTGAAAACATACTGTTAAGCAAAGAATGAAATCTGAGAATACAAAGTATACCCAATTTTATGGTTGATCAGGGTACTGTGAAAGAGCACCAGTTGCTATTTTCACGAGGCGGAAATAACAGTCGAGCCGAGCCGACCCTGATCTAACCTAACCTAGCCAAACTGAACACAATCTCAAGTGTTTGTGATCAACAAAACACTTACAATACATGTTTACATCTATCATACTGAATACTAGAGAACATTTTTGTTATTTACCCCCGTGACAAAAGTAGTGACAATTTTATTTAAATTTTGAATTGCGAAGAGATTCCATTATTGTTACATCTCTGTAGACGCTGTATGTGCATCATTTGTCACATTACATTTACATTGTGGTTATTACCTTCAGTCAACTTTTGCCAGTACGATGGCAACACGACTTGGAATGTACACCTGCAATAAAAAAAAGTGTTTCTTGAAATTGGGTAAAGCGCCACATTTTGTACTTAAAGAAAGACTGATAAGTACATTTCCTATACCGAGTGCAATATTTTGTTGTGAAAATTGTTAGAATAGTATACAATTCTACAACTTAATTCAGCTCTGAAACATTATATAATAAATAATAACCTGACCTGTATAATAAATGAAAAGGTGTAAACAGAATACAATATTCCTAACTAAGCAAAACAGCTAAGGTGTTAAGATGATCAAGAACATAAGAGATAAAAGGCAGTTACAATGCCTAACAGCAATACTGTATGTGGCTGCAACCTGCAGTAAGTTTACTGTATCTACTAGTAGTAGTTTGTTCATCCATCAAAGTCAATCTATAAGGTAAGCTGCTGACCACCAGCCAATTCCAGGAAAACCAAATCTTTGATAGATTCCAGTCAACTACCTACCTTTGTGTAGCTTCCGGGGATCAACAGCCCCAAGGCCAGGTCTCCAACCCGGCCTCCCAATTTAAAGATCAACCACCAAACTAAAGCTGCACACCCAAACAATTCCACTGCTTTCAGAGATTTACTAGGACAGAATCATAAACAGTCAGGTACATCAATATTCTGGTACTGGATCCACAAAGAGCCCTTAAAAATATCCCTGCAGGGTTATACTAGTTCTAAGGTAATACTGAAGAACACTCAATCTTCTGGTGGTAATTTTGGGCTGCAGTAAGTCATAAAATCTTGAAACCCTTCCAAGCTCCCCTTGGCATAGCAAGTAGTTGCGAATTGAGTGTTCATGCTGAATACCAGACGACTCTCCTGGTCTCCTCCACTATCACAACAATGGAGGTAATTCATACAAACCTTCCAACTTAGTCAAAAGGCCATGAGTGAAATAGGAGAGAGATCCGAAATATTTTTTCTCCTATGCAAAATCAGGATTAAAAACATCTAGTACCGGGCCCCTGCGAAAGGGAGAGGGAACTTTCACAGATGACAACTAAGAAATGAGCGAAATTCTGAGGAATCAATGACACATTTCAGCAAGTGTGTCATTGATTCTCTCTAGCTCTCTAGAGTAGAATAAGCCCTCTCTTCAGGATAAGCCCCAAAACCATCACACAGTAACTACAAGGTATGGGTGACCAAGATCAACTGGTCTGTCACCCAGGAATAGTTACTGTGCACCAAAACTTTATTAAGTATATACAGGATTCAACAAAAGCAGCAAACACGCGCGATACTCACCATAAGGCAGCGTGGTCGATTATTGAATTGTTCTTCTTTAGTGAAGAAATCAGTGCTATGATCTATAAGCTTGTGTCCACCAAATGCTTCATCGTCAGAATCTAAAACAATCTTGTATTTTCCACTAGCACCCACACCAATCTGTCAAAATGGCAAACATGCTGAATAGTTAGCAACAGTAAAAGACAAATTTAACTGCTGTAGAACGCTTTCATGTTTATTTCCAATGTTTCTAGTAATTTAACTATATTCCCACATAAATTAAACACAGATATTGGTAATTATTTTCATGAAAAAAAAAAAAAAAAAAAAAAAAAATGCAGTAAAATGAAACTGTCATTTTTGGCTAATAATCCACATAAATGAAAAGTCTTAACAACAAAGACTTGTCATTTATCCATTTACTGTTTTAATGTTACACAATCTATACAATCATAATCTTCCTTAATTCCTCTGCCAGTTGTATGAAAATCTGAGACTGACCCCTCGGATGATAGACTGGTAGAGTGTATAGATGAATTGAAGGTAGGAAGAGGAATGCCAGAAAATTGGCAGACATGGTGAATATGTGAGAAGACAAAGATTGAGTAAAACAATACAAGGGACATGGTAAAGAAAAAGGCTGGGCAGAGAGAATTTATGTTTAAAGAGCTATATCCTCCTTTTACTATATTGCTCCAATCTCTGTTCTCTTAATGATTTGGGAGATGTCAGTTCAAAGTTGTTAAAGGGGAGTTGACGGTGATGATTATGGTGAAACGAAGCAATTCCAACTAAACGCGACTATTACAATGTAAAGAATTGTGCCTTTAGTATAAGATATGTACTGTATTATGAAAATCTAGTATGATTTTTCAAGATCTAATCATGTAAAAAAGATATTTCTTTAAAAAGAAATATTTTAAGTTTTTGTTTATGGGAAACTAATTATTTATCTTTTGACTAAAATGGTACAAGGGTTTACTCTATAAAGCTTTTTATATTAAAGAATACTGTAGCAAAGACACACGAATGAAAGCCAAGTGACAACGGAAACAAATTTAAATGCAATGTGCCGAACACCTTACCTTGTAATCACTATAGCTCTGACTGGGGTGGAAGTTGAAGACGAAGACGCAGGCTCCACGCTCAAATACTATCACTTTATCCCCTTGATGCTTGGTGCTCGTGTATCCCTGGCGCGAGCAAAATGAAAAAGCACTGCCTTATAGTATTTGTCAAGCTGAAGCATTTTCAGGAATGCTTTAATTTTTATTTTAACTATTGATATTTATAATGCCATGTGTTATTTATTTCCCTCTCAACCTTTTAAAAAGAAAACATTACCAATACTGTATTAATAATCATCAAAGACAGCAACACATGCACTTTCAATGTTTAATTGATTAATTTGTATAAAGAAAACTATCACCCATGGAAAAATTGATCGAATTAACAATATTATCAATCTTTATAATTGATCAATCATCTTGTTCTTGAGAGCTCCACTTTCACATTCATGATCATATGCAATACACCACAGTGGGAGGGGGCTTAGTTTGTCTCCTATTTCGTTTTTTTATTTTAATGTTTATAACACATTTGATACAGTATCAGTATTATTCATTGTATGATAATGACAATTCCTTTATCCTTAAATCTTTACCTTCCAACTATGACTTACAGCAGTTTTAACACAAAGTTAGTAAATGGCTATCGATTAATTAATAACATCTCATGAACAAATCCACAAGGGCCGTGACGGTTTGAACCTTGTGGCCCTTGTGGATTTGTTCATTTGATGCATCACACTATTGTGATTTCTGTGTGTAAATAATATCTCATATTTACTAATTTCTTGTCTGGTTTTTTTAGTTTTGAAGTTACTACTTTCAAGTGTCTCCTCTGTTAGCTAGTTTTGTAAATCTGGATATATATCCTACATCTTCCACCTGCCCTCTTACTTTGGATTCTGTAGCACAGCACAGTTTTGAATTGGCAACTGATAAAACCAAATAATTTACCTTGTGCCACTAGGACAATATTCCAACATTTAATCCAAATCAACTAGTATTATTCCAGGTTAATCTGCAAATACACGTGCCCCAAACAATATGCCACCCAGCCCACACAATCCATACAAGAAAGCTAAAGCATAATTGTGATCCAGGAATGCTTACTGGTTCAGCATGAAGCCAGCCATACTTGTCCTCAAGCTTGTTCATCGCAGCATCAAAATTATTCAGGAACTGGTACTTGAGCAGATCGTTATCGACCACATTCCATTGTCTCCGTGCATAGTGATAACTCTCATTATTACCAATTCGAGGAAAGTCCAGCCACTCTGGGTGGCCAAACTCATTGCCTGTGGATGGATAATATTTTTAATATACTGTATATATAAGATTATATACAGTAGTCAAGTCACACATTCTAAAATATATTAACTGCTTCAGAACATTATCTGTATAAAGACAAGGAATACAATAACACATTAGTGTCCGAGATCCTTGGTTTCTTAATATTGTAGAGTATATATATGCCTTACATACACTAGAAATGTTTAACGTCAGAATACCGCTTCTTTTCAATTTAACTTCATACTTTTGATAATTTATTTGAGGATTTCTGTCTTCAAACATATACTGTATAGAGAGCGATAAAGTAATGTAATCACAAGTAAGCACAATACCATACAGTATTCACATACTAGTATTGTGATAGAAATGTGTTCCTAATATAATGCATACTTTATCACTGTCAATCTACAATTAACTACTGAGAAGACATGTGACATTAAACCTAACTTGCTGGGCTATATTATACATTTTGCTTTATTATTGTTAAACAGAGAAGAAAATGATTATTTGTAAGGTCATGACTTGCAACTCCTAAAGTCACAAACAACTCAATAAATAAAATTTATGGCTCCATGTATACAAAATGAGATTATATAGTACACAAAGTATTTTATGTAGATGACTGGTCACCATCAACCACTATTTATCTACACGTAACTGACAAAATAGTGACCGAGTACTGTACATAATCCTGAAAAGTAACAAGTCCACTTGTATTGCATACTAATTTGGTCCTGGCTCAAAGGAAGTATCTTGCAACCCACTCCTCTGCTACTATTTTGTCAGGTAGTTACCCAGAAATGGAGTCAAACACTGGCCAGAAACACCAAAGTGTGATTTGACAATAACTGCAAGCCACTTGTACATGATAACCACATCACATAGCAAACAAAAACATAAGCAGATATTTGAATTGGTCTTGGTTAACTACATTACATCTTACACAAGTAATATAACCATATTTATATGTATAAAAACTATATGACAATTAATATCAACATATAATAGCTGCATTACCTTGGGGATCAATGTATGATGATAACCCATGCTTAAAGAGTTAACCCGCCAAACACACACCGAAACTACGACATTGGTACAACGTTCGAACAAGTTTTAACACCTCCTAACCAGTTATAACAACCAAAATAGCAAGTTGTAACAACGTTCTAATACGTCATAAATACGTTAAGTCAAGATGTAACAACTTATTACAAGTTGTAACAAGCGGAAAATAGAGACAATTTCTGTTTGTGTTTCCAGGGAAGTAACTTCCCTCAAAAACATAACTCCCAATATTAACAAATACCCAGCTAAGGAACAAAACTCCACTGATAAAATGAGAAGACAGTAAGTTGACATAATTACCCATAAAGTTGAGATAGCCTTCACCACCAAGACCGTGTGTGATGAGCCGGATCATCTTGTGAAGGGCAATACCCCGGTCAATGATCAGGTTAGGAGGAGACAACTTAGACATGCTCGTATACATCTCCTTGTCCATAAGCCAGAAAGCGATTGTTTTGTCCCCCACAAGAGCCTGTAATACATGTTACTGTAATGTAAACAAATATGACAAGACATGGTTAATGCTTTGACTGGAGCACTTTCACTGCCATAGATACACAAACACCAATATACAAAATATATTATACTGGCAACTTAAGAAAACTAATTCTTAAGGAAAACTACCAATATAATGTGTCTATACGTATAATGTCCAAGTATTGTGGAGTTACCGAGCCAATAAAAAAATTTCTAACAATCGCTAAAGTAAAAATATTTGCATTTTATATCCAACTCAAATTTGCATATCCTTCTAAACTTCTTCCCTACTTCAGTGTACAAAATACTGACTAAAAATGATGTATTAATATTGCTTACTATATTGCTATGATGACAATTTATGGAAAAATGTAATTGAACAACTTAAATAAATTTGTATACAAAAATACTGCTAAATATTTAGTACAATTAAATCAAGTACTGCACAGGGTTTCTAAACAAACTACCTAATATTTATGCTCACCTCTCCACCATATAACAGCCAACTGCTTGAGCCATTTAAATCAACGGTGGTTAACCGATATCGCTGCCAATGATCCGTTACTTACAACAATGACACGTCTCAATAATTTGTACTTTAGTGCGTGTTAAAATGGATAGCCACAACCTACTTGATCGTGAGATTCAGCGTAAGCAATGGTTTTCTCCATGTAACGTCGATTCTCCAGGGTATGGCAGAGGTTTCCCATGTCCCAGTCATCATCAGCCTTTTCTTTGAGCAGTTTGATCCAGTGATCAGGGATTGCCATTCCCAAGCGATAATCAAAGCCAGTGCCACCTTCTTCAACTGGCCGACACAAGGCTGGCATTCCAGACACGTCCTGTAAAAATAGAGAGAAATAATTTCTCACCTTTAACAAAACCAACATTTGTTAAAAAAAAAAAATGCTAAATATAGTGTAAATGAATTTGGTGATACTGCAAAGAAAACTGTGCTAAGGAAACTTATGACAAACCTACCTCAGCAACGGTGATGACCTCAGGGTGCAGCTTGTGCAGCATGTAGTTAGCTAGCATAAGGTAAACAAGAGCTTCCGTGTCAACATTTAACCCAAAATACTCGTTATAATGTCCACTGAAGCCTTCTCCAATACCATGAGAATGGTACAACATGGATGTCACGCCATCAAATCTGTGGTCAAAATATAAAAGTATATTTAGTATAGATGAGAAATGCTTATATGATATTTCTATACATAACTGTACCTGTATATCATCACTCATACCAAGTTGCATGATTAATACTACTATAATGCTGAACTGCATAATAGCTAAAATAATGTTCATTTACATGATTATTACCAGTATAGGCACAACTCTAAAACAAGATTATCTTGATTTGGATTTAATACAGATCCAGGAATTTGGCTTATTTTTGCCTATTTATTGCAAGACACTATATTTTTCAATGTTAAATGAAATGAGTATGAACCATAGTAGTTTTAAAATATGCTAAATGCCTTTTCCCAAGATTTTAACCGTTTCTTCAAATTTTACGTCATCTAAGAAAATGGCTAAGAACGTGATTGGAGTCTCAAAAAATTGTGCACGTCACAGAGTTGTCATATTAAACAGGTGCACACTCCAGTGATTAATGACTGCCGGGATGTTTGAAAAGTTCCCTGTGGCACAAACACCTTGAAATGTGGTCGTGCCAGACTGTGTATGCATCCTATCTGATGACATAAGAGGTACTTATTACCTCGAAGAGTGTGTGTGATCTCACAAAAAATAAAAAAAAATTGGTTAAACTTATAAGGTGAGTTCCCTGTGAGATACCAAATTATATTTTATACAAAAGATCGCCAAAGTATTGTATACAAACTGCAAACTATTCCAGGTTCCAAGCACTCTTAAATATTCTTCTCTTTATACATAATTTAATTCCGAAGGAATGTTAGTTTTGTGCTTCTTAGTGATTTTAATCTTCATGAATCACCCCTAAATACTGTATAGGAGATTTAAAAGAAGTACCCGAAACATTCGATGAAGAAATTTATGTAAATTATACAAATGTAATTTAAAAAAATATACAAAATGACAAGAGGACTGCATCATACATTATACATAAGAGAAATAGAAGTATACAGGGAAAACAAGATAGAGGGCTCCAAAGAACAATAAATAACAGCATCCTCTATTGCGAATGGCCTTTTAGTCTGCAATTTACCACAAAATGAAAGTCCTTTTTCCCCAATGCTTTTCCAACATTCATGCTGCCAGACACCTCAGATATTGAAATAAACATCTACTACACTTACCTAAAACCATCAAATTTGTATTCTTCAAGATACCATCGCAGATTGGACAGCAGAAAACGCAGCACTTCCCAACTGTCAAAATTAAATAAAAAGTTTAATGACTGGAAATCAGTTAACGTGGACCAAACCCCACACTAGAAATTGTAGAGAGACGACGACATTTCGGTCCATCCTGGACCACTATCAAGTCAACTGATAATGGTCCAGGACGGACCAAAATGTTGTCGTCGTCTACAATTTCTAGTGTTTGGTTAGATCAACATTTTTCAGCCATGATATTGTGACTTTTCATTTGCAGTTAATGTATATTGTAATTTTATGTATGCAGAATATAATGTGATGTAAAAAGCTACATTAATACATCAGTATAGATAGATCTAATAAATATTCACTTTAAAATTAAAATATTATTATTTTCTTTAAGGTTTAGTTTCAGGCATAAGCCACTTCCTACTAATGAGTGTTAGTCAAAACAATATAACAGATTAAAATAGAGAACACTGCTTTTCAACACATTTAAAATCCTGGCAATATAACTTTTTACTCAACTATATCTTGCTTTATCTCACTTTTGCCAAAGTACTGCCTCTTACTAAGGTAAACCATTACAAATACTCTGCACTATATTACAAAAATGATGTACACTATAATTAATCATTGGATGCAAACTTAAAATATTAATTCCTCGGTGATTACCATGCTCGTATAAATATTATTTACTTGGAATAATTGAAGAGTCTCGAGTCCCAGAGAGAGTGAGTTCCCCGTGAACCACTATGGAAATAGCACGAGTCCGAGCCATCAAACTCATTAAGTCCGTCGAGCACATTTTTGGAGGCATGCGAGTGCACAACATCCAGAAGGACGAACAGACCCATGGAGTGTGCTGTATCAACCATTTCCTTCAGCTCCTCTGGTGTACCATAACGACTGAAAAATATGGTTTGCATAGTTTTTATCATGAAATCGAGTTATGAGACATTATGTATGATAATACAGTAATGAAAAGAGAGAAATAATATGTGGGAACTTGCAAGTTGTTTTTGGTTTCAATGCCTCTCTCTACCAAATGAGAGAATGTATCGACGAGCATTACTTTCTACTGTACACTATTGTGGCATTACTTCATCTGGTTTCAATACTACCAGCCTTTATGTCCTCCAGCGGCTCTTCTATACATACTGCAAATAAACCAATACTGCAGTAGTTTTCTTCAAGCAAGGTTGCAATTAATGTGATTAGTAATTGCAATTAGTTTATAATTACATAATTAGTTTGTATCTGTTTGTAACTGCAGGATAAGGATGTGGGAAGGTCCTTATCCTGATCCCTTTCAAATTCTAAGTAGTCATAACAGCTTGGCACTTCTTTCTGATAGTTCCCTTCCCGTCTCATCATAATTTTGGCATGTACAAATTTGTAGTATTGTATTCACCTAATAAGTACACAACTTTTATTAATCATGCATCATTCCTTATACTGACTAACATGAGCTGAACACATCTTTCACATTTAGAATTAGGCATCCAAAAACATACTAGAAAAAAACTCTGAATTGGTATGAAAGGGGATGTTCATATCATTCCTATGTTCCCTGGCAAGAAGTCTCCTTTGTCTTGGATAACATCATGCTAATCAGGATAGTGCCACTAACTAGCATTGCCAAAACAGGGAACTTTCTAAACAGTTCCAGTACAGACATTAGCAATGTAAGAAAGTTGTTGAATATTTCAATGAAGTCCATAATGACATTAATTCATAACTGTTTTGTACATTCTCTTGGCACTGCATGTGACTGGAAAATGAGGGCATTCGCTAACAACTGTTTGACATACCTTGCCACCTACACCAATCACCTGGGCTTCCTCAGGAAGCAGATAGCTCAGAAATACTGCTTTTGAGTCAATATGAAAAGCAACTGTCTGAGTAGGATCACCCGGATTCTCCTGACCCCCACCCTTTTATCCTACTTGTCTCAGAAGGTATGCAACTCTCCCGCATACATCTGCCCGATGCCTACAGAGGGTTAAAAGGGGTAACTCGCTCATCTCTAAACCAAGTTAAAAAGACCCCTGCAACCCCCCTCTTATGTTTTGCAAAATTTTCATCTATTTACCCCTAGTATATTTAAAATGTGCTGCTTATATAACATTTAGCAGTTGTGCACAATGCACAAAGATGAATTCTATAATTTGGGTTTAGAAAAATGCAATAACAAAATGCTTGATGGGCTGGAATCCTTGGTGAAAATAGACAATCTTGAGTCCTAATCAAGTCTGTTAGAGAGATTACGCTACACTACTCTTTACTTTGTAAAGCATTGTCTTCTTAATAGGCACTAACAATAGACAGAAAGAAAGACCTACAGAACTTACTATGTACTATTCTCTCAAAAGTAGAGACTGCTACATGTTACAAGACAAAATATAAGATGCCAAAGATGATAAGAGATCATGACACCAAATACCTGTGCTCTTTGAAGACAAAACATTTCCTTAATCATTCTTCATACATGTACAGTACCTTGTAGTATGCAAGAGTACGTAATTCTTTTAACCAGGTCGTGGCCTAGTCGACTAAGGAAGCGTCTGGGATCATCCCGGGCGTAAGTTTGAACCCTCATCACGGCCTTTGTGGATTTGTTTACCTTGTAGTATGTTTTTGCCAGTGTATGTACTCTTATGTAGTGGGGCTCACCTTGAAGCAGCAAAGAAGCTGGTGACTTGGTAACCAAAACTGGCATAGTATGCGTGCTCCATGATTGCCATCACCTGGATGGCATTATAACCTGAAAATTCATGTTAATGATAATATTTTATGCATAATTATTTCTGTATAAATTTAAAGTCAATTTTAATATTTTTGTAATTTTGAGTTCCCATGCCTATACCTATTTCATTAAATTTGCATAAGAAGTGAACATAAAAAAAAATAATTTATTTGAATTAGGCTCTCTAATTTGTCTTTGATTTGCATAGTGAGAACCCATTCTAAATTTTGTTTTGATGCATGTTAATAAACTTGCTCACAAATTCAGGCATTTCAGAAACAAAACATTGATCAAAATATTAGTACAGACAATGATTGCATTAATGCACACTTGTGCCACAATGACAACAAAGGATGAGAAAGCTGTTATTTCGTTGGTATACACGAAAGATGCGTAACCAATGTGAAAGGTGCCTTCTAAAATTAATGAAGAACAATGTCCAATTTAAAAGATAAATATGTCTAAGTATATTCTATGACCAGAAATGGGTGTTAAATGTTGAAATACAGGACAGAACCCAATCAAATGGAATAAGGATGTATGATAAAATACTATGAATCTCAGTAACAATGGAACAGTAGGCAGGAAGACCGAGGACTGTGAAAAGGGGTCCTATAATGCATCTTTTTCACATGCACACACTAGCTGTTACCTTGGCAGCACATTTCAAATGTGTCTATCATCATTTGTGCACATGTTTTCACTAACAAATGCTCAGCTGGTCCTTTCATGAATGCAACAAGCAACGCTTATGCCATATGAACGAGAATGCATCTTAAGCCCCTACCTTACATCAAGCAGATCGACATTGGAAACATTGCAACATGGGTCTTTATATGTCCGTTAGGTGATACTGGTGCAAGGAAGGCATTAGAAGTTACTCAAACCAGCCTAAAATTGTATCAAGAAGGTTCATTCAACTTAGGACGTTATAAACCCTACTTGGCATCAATGATTGTCAAGGAACATTCTTTCTCAATGAAACCCATACTTAATATAATATTTGCCAATATTTAGTAATGATCACAGCAAAATCTGCCACTATATCTAAAAAAAAAAAAAAAAAAGTCATACGCTCTTTTTTCAAAACATATCCATCGAATTTTCCCCACACAAAACCTTCTTATACTCGGATATTTTATGAAATAGTGTATTGTAGGAACCAGATCCCAATCAATGACCTCGACCATTTTCCAAGGAGTATTTTTGGCACCTACATTAAGCCCAACATCCTCCATCGAACATTATTTATTCACATACACAGTGTAGTAATGTAATGTACATCTTGTGTGTCTTGTGTCTGGTTATATTTTGTCTTCAATACATAGCTGGTATCAAAACAAGTGGCAGATGAATTCTGGTCCAAAATCATACCTGCCAGTTAAGCCAGATATTTAACAAATGGAAACTTTATCAAAAACCACTTATTTTGCAACATAAATGCTCCAATTGTAACCAGCATTCAAGAAGAAGTACAAAATATCTACCTTCGAGTAAGCCTCGAGAAGTGCTCACCCGTCAACACAACGACGTCGGGAGACCAAGAGCTAAATAACGTGCTGCTTCTATATTATGATGCCCAAAGATTAAGGGTTACAAAAACACCATAACATATTTATATCTTTTGGAAGGAAGCAGGAATATGAGGGTGGAAGAGAGCAGGACAGCATCTTTCAAAGATTATCTTGAACTATACACAGCATATAGGCTTGCTGATGTGAAACAGTTGAATTGCTAAAATGTAAACAAAAACACAATAAAACTAACCCAGTTTCACAATCCTAGGAAGAACATTCTTGGAAAACTCCTTGTAGGTTCCAACTTTAAGCTGGTCCGTGCCAATACCAACATGACACTCGTACACTTTTAAGCTCATTGGTTTGTGAGGTCGAGGGTGTTTAAATGAATATCGCTGTAATAAAGGATAATATTTAACAACAATGCTATAAAGTAGAATGTATAACATCAGCCACCGACATTTTTATTAATTCAGCGGTAGGCACTACGGCTACAAACTAGATTATAGTACGTTATCTTATAATTAACATCTCTCAGTTCACAGTATAGATTTTGCCAAGAAGTTAATGTTTTCTTCACTGGGATATCCAATAATTTTGTCAAGTGGCTAATGACCAGCAGCTTCTCCCAATTCTTGGCATCATAGTTACGTAGTAAGAATAAGAAAACTAATGCCTACCTCTTGAGGTGGGGGGTTCCAGAAGTGGTGCTGAAATGCTGTGCCCTCTGACTTGGGGGGCTGGACCACATACGATGCCCAGGGGCATAATCTGTCCTCCATCCTGTCCTTTGGAGTTAGCAGGCCCATCTGAGAAATGAATACTGCTACTTGTTTAAACAGTATAAGCAGAAATACAAAAAATAATTTTAAATAACTTTAAATTGGAATTTTTAAACAATTATTGGATGAATCAATTAAGAGATGCAATGCCAGTGCTGGTCAACTGGCCCTTTTCCCCTATAAACAACTACTGAACAGTACTTGACAAAAACTTTTCTCACCATCGAGATCGAGATACTATGCGATTTGCAATTTGTTTTCTCGTAAATGCAAACACCCCGAGCAGTATGACCAATCACTAGATCCATGCACTGATGTGAAAACCTATCTTATACTAACACTGAACTGTGGGAATCAACTGCCACAGAATCCATACCAACTTCAAAGTGCCAATTATGAATACAATAAATTATATCGGTGCTCCCAGTAATAATGACGGAAAAACATCCTTCTTGAAGCAGCCATTTGACAACACAATCTCTGTAAAGCAAATCTAATTCAGAATGCTCTATTAAAAAAGGTGTTCATAGCTGGATATGTCAGGTGATGATCACTGGACTACTAATATGACCCTAAAAAAATAAACTCCCATGAAATATGCCTTCATAAAAAATTTTTTTAAGTGCAGTATATGATGACATTATATATTATTCCAGTTCCCATTTTTTATGAGGTGGGGAGGCATCATGCTGCAGCTTCACATAAAACCAGCACCTCATGCTCCAGCAACGTCAAACCACCACTTCATAAAACCAGGTGTAAAGGCCTGCTTGCAAATTGCCATTTAAAACCTATCAAATATTCCTACTGAAATTTTATATTCACCTTCTTAAACTGAGAAAAAAATATTTTTATTGCTTAGAGCAGTGACACTGTCTGTCAGACAGCATTTGCTTATGAAGCTTGCTTTTACATGCTTATTACAAAATTTAGCACAAGTTTTACAAGTTGCTCTATTTCAATGTTCCCTAAAGGAAGATCACTGAAGGTATTAACGAACATGGTTATGACAGTCAAGGCAGGGTGACACTGGCATAGGTATGTTTCCAAATGTCCCTGAAGAGTCATTCACACTGGTGTTAGGAAGGCACTATAGTAAAGTCAAATCCAGCTCAGGGTAATTACTAAAATTTCACTACAAATTTCCAGGTTCTACCTTTCATCACAAGGAATGCAAAGTAGCACTCCCATAGTCAGTTTGTCCACCAGACTGCTTCCTCTGACTGCCACCAGATGGCAGCCGCCATGCATAGTGCGCCAAGACCTTTCTTCTCTATAATTGGCATTAGGTCGGCACAACTTTCTGCCAGTTGCAAATGATGATTGTGCAGGCGCAAGACCAAACTTGATCAAGTGCTTCATTTAACTTTTTAGATATATTTATTTCACTTCAGTGGTTTTGTGCCATGTAGTTTGGGTGCTTTTTGTGGGCGTAACAAGTCTTTTGTCTTTCAAAATATCTAGCCAGTTGATCAAGCACCTTGGTAGCCAATGTCTTGGCCATCAGGCTTTTGTTTCTACAACCCCTTCTAATTTCTCGAAGTTCTAAGCAACAATGATCCACCATCATACAGGCACAAACTGGAGGTTATGGAGGCTCTGTTTTCCATTTCTCCCAATATCTCAGGGTAGTTTGCAAGACGAATATAAACACCAGAACAAAAATTGAAGATGGTTTTAGCAAGAGAAAATTTTTTTTTTGAGATATATACAAGAGTTGTTACATTCTTGTACAGCCACTAGTACGCGTAGCGTTTCGGGCAGGTCCTTAATCCTATGGTCCCTGGAATACGATCCCCTGCCGCGAAGAATCGTTTTTTACGACATTTGCAAAAGTATCTTTAAGAACTTCCCTTCACCCTGAATACTTTGCACCCTATTTATAAGCTAAACATGATATTGACTTTTCACATGCTATTATAGTACTAGAATCTGAAATTTCTTACATGCAGCTCACATCTTCAGAGAATACCGATGCAGTAGAGTTGAAGGTATTAAAGAAATTTAATTTTACTCAAGTAAACCAAGCCACAAGTGAAGCACATCATTTCACAGACAGTAACTACCACATTTCCCAAAAATACCACAGAAAACGAGAGCATCATATAACCAGAAGAAACTATGAAAAAGCAAAACAGATATGAGTTGAAGTGCCATCAAGGAAATGGGAAAGTACAACTATAGCTTCAACGATATTGAACACTTACATATCTTAATAAAACAGAAAATTCAGAAAGATAAGAAGGACATGTAATGAAATGACAAGTTAAAGTTCTGCCATACAATGAAGGACAAGCAAGTAGCATTAGCATGCCTGCAAGAGTGAATAAACCACAAAATATACAGCTGGGTACAAGAGCAAAGTTAATAAAATGTAAATTAATGATTCATACAACTTGGGCGAGTTTAAATAAACTATGTACAGTACAAGTTTCTGAATATATATTCCTTACCTCAAAAGATGCAACTCTTCAACAGCAGTGTCCCCAAAATTATACCCAAAGCATGTTTGAAGAAATTGTAAACAAAAGGTATACAAAAATTTGCACTTCATCAACAGAATTGGTGGGACTCCACATTCAATTTATAATTCAATAAAGAATTCATAATTCCCACTGTCAGGGACAGGAAGCCTGTACTTAGATTTATCGAAATCCCTAAGATCAACTACTGACCACCTTCAGAATGCAACCCACAACAGTTGCCCATCTTATGGGTACCTAGTTACTCCTAGGTGAACAACAGAGGTATTAGGTGAAAGGAAATTTGCCCAACCCCTTCAGTCCTACCCAAGGATCAAACCTGGGATCCTCGAGCGAGAATCAAGGATGCAGGAAGTTAATCCCCAAAGTTAATCTGCACTAGAGTGGCAGTGTCCTTCGTGTTAACTTTACTGTTAGTTGTAAAATAATTTTTTGGCTTGGTGTTGGCTATAACATTAAGTGATGGAGTTTGATAATCTGAAATCATTTGCAAATTTTTTTTATAACACGTTAACAAATCCCTTTTTAATGATACTGTAGTAGGATAATACATTACAAGGACTTACATTAAGCCAGACATTAAACCAACAAATTATATTGACATTCTAATAGCTACTATATAAATACAGTACTTTGAAGAAAAATTTAGTGTCTTATGTACCACAGACCCAAGCAACAAGACCTCTGGTTACCTGATCGCCTGTGTTCATCACGCCAATCTAGAAAATAAAATTGGCTTGTATGATTAGAATTCCTTGCTATTTCTAGTAGATAACTCAACAGTAAGATACGTCTGAGCTTACCAAATTATTTTATACAGGTATTAAAAAAATGCTGGCAAATGATGATGGCATTATTACATTCTTTAGCAAATGTGGTTATAATACATTCAATATTTACAATTCTAAGCATAAAATGTATGACTAAAGCTATATAGAAGTACTTTGAGAAAAGAATGATCCATTTTACAAGCAAATAATATGTACACAGCACCAACTTAATAGTAATGTGCAAAATATGATCTATTAAGAAGCAATAAAAATAACAATTGTTAACATGCATTGCAAGTGTACCTGCATCTTTAAACCTGTCAAGTCTAGTTGTAACACTATTCTCAAAAAATATACCGGTCGTATAAACTGAAATGGTGATACCTGTACTTTGCATCACAGATACATGAATTGTTTCTAAGTTATCCTCATTAGGTTGTTTCCCAAACTGGGATTCTACCAACCTCTGTTGGGATCTGGCTCAGTCATGCCAGGTTGACATTCCACACCAGTGCAGTGTGTGAATTTTTAAGTATGTCCCACCAAGTTTAGTTTTGGTGTAAAGGAGTTTGGGAACGCTCAACTTAGCCCAGAATGAAGACAAAAGTGTTACCTAAGCTCTACATCCTTTCCAAGCATAACGTAGGAGAGAGAGAGATCAGCAAATCACACCTTGTCTAAATGTTGAACCACCATCTAGGTTACTACCAATTACCCCATATAACAACACTGATACCACCACAAATTTATCTAGCCCTATAGCCATACATTCAAAACCTGTCTGGCTTTGTTTGCAGGTTGTGGGCAGGTGGGGACCAGGATTTTATGTTATGTATCATTGATTTACAGGCCACAGTAGCAATGGTGTCAGATATGCCTCAGTGTTCCTAGGAGGGTAAAACACAAAGCCTTACGGCTATAACATTGCCTGTTAGCAGAAATTGATGCGCTTCGCATAAAATAAATACAACATTAGGCGTTGTATTTTCTCACTCATTTGGAGAAAATTTTGCCAGTGAAATTGGCCAATAGTGCACAGGAAATATTAGGGTATACATGGTAACACTGATAATGTGGCTCCAATCATGTTTTTGATGATTTTTGTAGATGAATTCCAACATTTTAAGCGGCAGTTGGAGCCTTGGGAAAGCTATTGAGAATATTTAACACCAAATTTTATGGTTTGTTTTCATTCTGAGTTGGCAAGGTTGTCATTCACTTGGGTATGGCCCTACTATCTTTTGAAAATTAATTTTGAAACTGAGGACATGAGAAATGTGCTAGATGTGGTTAACTTTTTTGTAGAAGTCTGCATTTGGTAGTTGTCTATTATATTACAGGTTAAAGTGAAAATTTTGCTAAGTAAAATTAGCCCATAGAGTATGGGAAATGCATCCTTGCAGCATCTCCGGTTGCAAAAAATCCCCCGCTGCAATGACTTGGGTTTGGTCCCATACAGTTTGCTGAATTGAGGTTGTACAGTAAATCAAATTATAAACTATCACACTAATAAACATTTTCTTATTAAAGCATGTGCACAAGATGATTAAACATAAACGTCTCACTTTTCTAACAGGGAAAGTGCATGTAGTTAATACATAGTACAAGCTGCAACTGAGTTAGCAAAATATTTAATTAATTTTTCTGCCTCTTTAACAGTAGATTCACTGCAACACTCATGAATGCTGTACCTTGTACACAATTTCTAGAACACTTACCTTCACTCGTGACGCATGTTTAATGGGGCACGAACCGTCTGGATTGGCTGGTATGTTTATTTCCCATTTACCATATTCCAGTTTTTTAAACGGATGACTCAATTTATTCCAGCTATCTGCAGACCACAGAATAGTTAAGTACATAATGCAAAGAATTTGTAGCATTGAACAAATAAATATTTTATACCTCTGTCAAAAATACTTTCTTAAATGCAAGATAAAATCTATAGATTTTATTCTCATCGACTTGAGAATGGTCCAGAACGGACTGAAACGTCGTCGTCCCTTCACTTTCTAGTGTGTGGTCTGGTCAACATACTTCAGCCACGTTATTGTGACTCATCACCTGTATAAAATCTATTGACATACTATACTCTATTTCAAAGCAGAGAAGTACTGTTTCTGAGATTTTAGCTTTCCATAATTTTTCTCAGAAATTTAACAGCTAAATCATCTTATTTAAAGTAGTTATGAATGTGTTTAACTGATCCTGCTGTACCAACTATAACTTTTTACAAATTTCTAATGTGGGAAAGGTTTCACTCAATGCGAGAAATGGTAAAATAGACGAGTAAATACACACCAAGAGAAAAGAAGCCTATAATTGGCCAGCCGAGGTTTCCCTAACCAAGGACAAAATTGTATACATTCAGTTACTTGACAGACCCAATGGTGCTAAACGTGAGGGAATAAGAACTGTAAATTTAATATTGTATCCCTTAATATTTACAAATATTACTTCTGCCCCGACACATGAAAAATAATTTCCAGAAGGATAAAATCACTTCCATAGAAGTGATTTTAAACTGCTCCTGTCATTCTCAAATGATAGAGAAATGGTGCTCTTTTTTGTGAACGATTCAATGCACCTCTGAATATTCAAAGTATATTGAATATTATTGTGTAGTGATAATTATCAACGATCCAGCAAATAGAGAGTTGCATGTATTACCTATGTAAAATCCCAGCAAACTTCAACAGTAATATTAGTAAACTTTATTTCCTGTTTATTGGTACTGTAATGATATTACAAAGCAAAATATTAATTTCACACACATTTCATCTGTGCCTTACTAAAATCTCCTTTGAGGAAAAGTCCTTGTGCCATGGGAGCCCATTCGACGCAGGTCACACTGTTGTCTGGATTCACATGTAGACCAAACTTTTCGTACCCACGGGAAAATTTCTCGAGCCCATCTTCTGTTTCGTCAATCTTATCCAGCAACATTTTGAAGCATCCATACCTTATGGGAGGGAAAAAATAGTAATAACCTGTACATAAATATATGAATCTGAGGGCATAAACAAGATTAGAGGTAATAAGTAATATTTTAAAGCCCTGAGATTGGAAAACCATTCAGCACCTTGCTCCTTATACATTAATGGAGAAAAATAGCTACTAGGTACAGAGCAGCCTCCCTAATCCAGATCTCCCGTAAGGTTACAACCCCATGGCACTGCCTACCTGCCAAAGCTACAAATCTCAAAATACTGCTGCAATTTAAGCAATAAAACCATCAGAACAAATGGAGACTTTTGACAAGCTGCCAGCTTCCTCTCTGCATCAAGGCCACTACAGAGATGGTGGCCCTTAGGTAAATTCAAGTAAATTCAGGAAGTTAATGTGAAAATGATGCAACACCCGCTCGGGGTCACCATGGCAACACCCACTCGGGGTCACCACGGCAACACCCACTCGGGGTCACCACGGCAACACACGCTCGGGGTCACCAGGGCAACACCCGCTCGGGGGTCACCATGACAACACCTGTTCAAGGTCACGACAACACCCGCTCAGGGTCACTATGACAACACCCGTTCAAGGTCACCATGGCAACACCCGTTCAAGGTCACCATGGCAACACCCGTTCAAGGTCACCATGGCAACACCCGTTCAAGGTCACCATGGCAACACCCGCTCAAGGTCACCACGGCAACACCCGCTCAGGGTCAACACGGCAACACCTGCTCAAGGTCACTATGGCAACACCCACTCAAGGTCACCACGACAACACCCACTCAGGGTGACCACGACAACACCCGCTCAGGGTCACCACGGCAACACCCACTCAGGGTCACCACGGCAACACCCGCTCAGGGTCAACACAGCAACACCCGCTCAAGGTCACTACGGCAACACCCGCTCAGGGTCACTACGACAACACCCGCTCAGGGTCACCACGGCAACACCCGCTCAAGGTCACCACGGCAACACCTGCCATAGTTCCTGGAGGCGACAGGTGTTGCACGACTGTGGGGTAACCACCAGGAGAAAGCACCAAGCCATGACAACCCTGGAAAAGGGGTACGAGGATAAGAATTTGGGATAGGACGGAGGGAAAGGAATGGTGCCCGGGGGGGGGATTGAACGCTGACCAGCAGGGAGAGAGACCGTCACAGGTGTCAGAGGCTCCTCACCTGCGTCTTATCTCCCTCTCGTGGTCCTTGAGGTAAGGGTCCCTGGCCAGCAAGGTGTCTAGCCTAGGAACTTCCACCTTCATGGGGTCACCGACGTCCAACATGTTGTGGTCGCTTCTAGTCCCTCTACCACTGGTCGTCCTGGTCGCTTCTAGTCACACTACTACTGGTTTATCCTGCCCTTTAGCGCCGCTGTCTGCGTGTCACTCACTCGGGAACCTGTTCCGACCTGCAGAGAGCCGAGGGGCAGGGTTGGGATGGGGTGACACAGCCGGGTGGTGCTCCTCGGAAGGGTAAAAATAAGAGAGGAGGAGATGAGGCGTTTGTCGAGCTCGGTTATACGTCGCTGCCACCGCAGGGTTGCCAGATCTCAAATGCTGAAAGTAGCGAGCTGACTGTCTAAAAGTAGCGAATTTGTCATAAGAGTAGCCCAATGTTTTTTTTTTTTTTTTTTAGTGAATGATATATGGGTTTCAAAGTAATATATTTTGATATATAGAGTACACTACACGATGTTAATTGTTTTATTATTATTATTTCTGCACAAGCACACACACACACACACATACACACATATATATATATATATATATATATATATATATATATATATATATATATATATATATATATATATATATATATATATATATATATATATATATACTTTTTCAGCGCCTTAGTGTGGCAATCCAGAGAGGAAATGCTCACTGCATCCATGGTTCCTGCCCGCCATCTGAGGAGCTGGAGGAGCTGTTCAACTTGTGACAAGCAGCCTTGTACCCTGCATGTAATCAATATTGTAACTTTTTTTGTGTAATGACATTTTCAAATAAAGTTAGATAAATATACACACATACCAAAAGAATAGGGGTGGTAGGAGAAGAAAATATCAAAGTGTTCAGTGAGGACCCACAAGGTCTTCTCTGAGTACTCTTTATTTTCTTCTCCGAGGCTATGGGTCCCTACAATTGCACCGGAGGTGGTACCCCTTCTAGGTTAAAAAAAAGTATATATTGATTATTTTATTATAGTATATATATTGATTATTGATATAGTATATATATATTGATTTTTTGCGCCAGAGGTGGATAGTTCATTAAGCATCCCCTATTCAACCAGTGAGTGGTAGTTTGTTGTGCACCCCGAACCCCGACCAAAATCGAGGCAACAGAAGTTGATAATAAGTTAAGAATATGAATAAACAGATGGCACATTATCATATAATTAGCACATGAATTCAAATAATATTTAATAATAATAATAATAATAATTAATTTTATTTACAAGTTACAATGGGTTGGTGATATTACATTAATGATATTTTTACATTCTTGTAAAGTCACTAACACGTATAGCGTTTCGGGCAGGTCCTTATCTAACATATATGGTAATGTGAAAAAGTACATTGTGGTAAGGTTTATATCAACAATATAAATTGAAAGGGGTGATTATACTGGTAAAGATTAAGTACTTAATTAGTCTTTACTAATATTGGGGAAGTACAAGATAGTGTGAGTTTGAAGCACAAGGTAGGAAACTATGAGGATGAAATTAGGTACCTTTTGGTTTTACTTTTGAACAAGGCAGAGGTTGGACAATTTTTTAATTCATCAGGGAGTGAGTTTCAAAGACTGGGCCCCTTTAATTTGCATGGAGTGTTTACACAGATTTTGCCTGACTCTGGGGATATCAAATAGATATTTATTTTTGGTGTGGTACTCATGAGTTCTATTACACCTATCAAGGAAAAGTTTCAGATCAAGATAAGCATTTAGGAACAAGGGTTTTGTACATGTAGATAGCACACGAGAATGTGTAGAGTGAGTATATGTTTGGCATGTTGAGGGACTAGAACAGAGGGGCTGTGAGTTAGGTTCTTTTAATTGCCTTATACAATTTAACGAATAAAAAGGTTTTCGTGCCTTAACATCTTTATAATATGATAATAACGACATATCTGCATTAAAATCAGTGTGCAATTCCGGTTTTGGCCTCCACCGCCTTCTCACTTGTTCCCTTGTAACTTGTAACTCACTTGTAACACTTATATGCTGTACTTCCTATTTTAACCTGCTATGTTAAATGGGATTCTTGTAATGTGATTTGTGTATTTGTACTCACTGAATTTGTGCGTCCCTTGAGGGACTTGAAGTAGAGGGGGTAGAAATAGCCTAAGCTACTCTATCCCTTTGAGATGTATTTTTTTATTGTCTCAATAAACATACGTGAACTTGAAGTGGACTTTATTCTTATTTCGGCAGCTTTATTTCCTTAGTTTCCGAGCTGTTTTCTTTACCGTGTATGTTGTAATAAACTATTCCTATATTTACAGTTGTTTCTCCCTGTGAAGATTATTAAACAATGGTGATTATAAGGGCGCGGAAGTTCAGCCTGGCCAGGGCCGCCAGCAGCCCTTGGGCCCGCGCCGGCAGCTCCCAGTCTTTAATTTGGCACCTTTGTGGCACCTTTGTGAGACCTTGGTATAAGCCTAACATATATATATATATATATATATATATATATATATATATATATATATATATATATATATATATATTAAATATATATAAATATATATAATGATATATATATCATTAAAGTTTAGTATTTACAGAAAACCTACGAACAATTTATCTTATGTTCATTATTTTTCAGGGCATAAATACAATGTAAAAAAGTCAATTTTTTCTTCAATGTATCTAAGAGCTCTTCGAGTTGTGAGTCCAGAATTCTTAGACGAAGAATTTAAGAATATTGATTCGATTGGTCTTAAGCTTTGTTACCCACTGAATTTTTTGGAAGTTTGTCGTAACAAAGCTCGTCGTACATATTATAATAATGTATGCAGTGAAAGGATTCGCCCAAAGAATGTGTTATGTTTACCATATTTCTCTGGGTTTGAGAATATTGTCAAGGCCTTGAAACTTTTGAATATAGATGTATTGTTTAGTTACGAAAACACTATTGGTAAGCTATTAGTTAGGAACAGCCCTCGTAGTGATAATTGCGTCATTTATAAAATACCTTGTAAGGAATGTAATAAGTTCTATGTCGGGCAAACATCTAAAGATTTAAAATGTAGAATATCGCAACATAAATACTCTGTAAGACATGGCCAATTGTCTAATGCTTTGTTTGTGCATTTGTCAGAAAAAGCTCACCAAATTGATTGGGAGAGTGCTTCTTCTATAACAAATTGTAAAAGCACCTATAACAGAAACATAATTGAATCTGCTTTGATACAGATCACCAAAGAAAGTAATTTGAATATTAGCAGTGGTCTATATAACTTAGATCCATTTCTAATAGATCAGCTAAAGGGCGATTTAAGTAGGATCAAGGAAAAACATTTGTCTCACTAATTTATTGTATATATTTACCTCTTTATGTTATAAATTACCTATGTATTATGCTTGTATGTCTGCTGAATCAGATGGGCCATTGGGCTACATCGGATGGGCCAATTGGGTGCATCTGATGGGCCAATGGGCCGTCTGCGTTGTCCAAGTATTGTACTTCACCTTACTTCACCACTCTCTCCTGCCTATTTATACCCATCACTCGATCTGTAAAATGACCTGAAGATGTATTTAATATACGAAAGTACTTAAGGAAATTCCTGTTTCATTTTTCCTCCGTGGTCTGACATTGTCACATTCTTAATCACGTGTTTATTTTCGTGATATACACACACATATATACATATATATATATATATATATATATATATATATATATATATATATATATATATATATATATATATATATATATATATATATATATATATATATATATACACTGGCTGCCTGTCCCCCTACACAATGATTTATTATTACCTATTATTTTATCATTTAATTTAAATATTAAATAAAATAATTTATTTAATTATTATAGTAAGTAATTAATAATTTAATAATAAGTAGTAAGTACATAAAAATGATTAAAAGTACAGTTTAGTCATAGGAGATTCCTAGATTGGAATTCACTACCAAATTTCGATATATCCAAGTATTTTTAGTGTGAAAAGCTGTTATTATATGCATAAATTGTTGTTTTAATAATATTATGCTTAACCACTTGGGCTGGACGGTAGAGCGACGGTCTCGTTTCCTACAGGTCCGCGTTCAATCCCCGACCGCCCAAGAGGTTGGGCACCATTCCTTTCCCCCGTTCCATCCCAAATCCGTATCCTGATCCCTTCCGAGTGCTATATAGTCGTAATGGCTTGGCGCTTTCACTTGATAGTTCCCCCCCCCCTGAATAATATTACGAGAGCAGTATTTACGGGCTATTCATGCCCGTGCCACCTCTTGGGTGGCTTAATCTTCATCAATCGAGAGCAGTACGTCCTAACCAGACGTTATATGATGATATCCTGAACAGTTGATAAAGAAAAGTAATTGCGGAACTCCAGTTATCTAATACTTATCATAAATGGTATAAAACCTTATCATAAGCCAAGGAATTTGTAGATCAGTGTTTAAAAGGGAATTCGGAAGTAATAATGATACAGCTGATGCCATCTGTCGGCAGAAGAGAACACTATTAACTGGCTGGTCAATAGTGGCCATAAGGTACAGCTTACGCCATCTGTTGACATCAAATTACACTTATAACAAATTACCCTACAAAATACAACTAGCGCCATCTCTTTTTTTTCCAACGCACTATAAATAGCCAAACAGCAACCCATAAGGCGGGTTGTTGTGTTCGGGTAGGAGGTTCCAAGCTCCGCCCACAGATGGTATAGGGTGCATAATGTTGACATTCACACAACAGCCAATCACAGGAAGGGATCAGCTAAAGGCTCCATCCACTTAATAAATCATCTTTATTCAGCACACCATCCTTGCTTATGATATTGTGCCTCAATTTTAATCTACCTAAAAAGTGAAATGTTAATTATTTAAAAGTATTAATATAGTGATAATTAAAAATACTGCATGATGTAACGAGTGTTACAGAAACATGGGCTGGCTACCTAACTTGTGACGTCATCAGTGGGAGTTGCCTCACACAAATAATATCGGCGATACAATGCCTGATCCGCCCTCTTATTGGTCTACATTATTCAGTTAGATGGAAATTTCTGTCTTGTATAAAACAGAAATTGTTGTTCTTTTGTACAACAACACCAAGGTTATTGATTAAAAGGACGTATTTCTTATTTTGCATTTTATTCATATAAGCGTTGACATTCACACAACAGCCAATCACAGGAAGGGATCAGCTAAAGGCTCCATCCACTTAATAAATCATCTTTATTCAGCACACCATCCTTGCTTATGACATTCTGCTTCAACTTTAATCTAACTAAAAAGTCAAATGTTAAGTATTTAAAAGTATTAATATAGTGA